TGCCATTTGACTTCTTAACCAAGACTAGGTTGGCGAGCCAGTTTAGGTACTTCACTTTTCTGATGAAGTTGATGTTCAAGAGTTTGTCAACTTCGTCTTTTAGTGCTTTAGAGTGCTCTGCATCCATAGATCTTCTCTTTTGTCTTATTGGTCGAGTTGTTGGGTCGATGTTCAATTTGTGGCACATTACCTCGGGGTTAATCCCCACCATATCTGCATGCACCCATGCGAACACGTCGAGGTTTTTCTTTAGAAAGCCTACCAGACTATCGGTCATTTCTTTGCTCAGACTGTTGCCGATCTTTGATACATGAGCTGGGTCCTCCTCGCTAACATATATTTCTCGCAGCTCTTCTATTGGCCCAACGGCCGGCTATTCCCTGTGGATGCAAGGATCTATGGTATCCTCGAGAGGTCTAGGGTGTGGCTCGGACTTTGCAATGACCATGGTTCTCAGGAGCGGCCATTTTAGTATAGCATTAACGGCTTGATTGTAACATTCCCAAGATTCTTTTCTATAGCTTCTTAATGTTCCGACCCCCTTGGAAGTCAAGAACCTCATTGCTTGGTAGCACACTAAAGTTACTACACTCAAATTATCCAGGATCGGTCTTCTAAGGATGACATTGTAAGTGATCGAGCAATCTACCACTAAAAATTATGCCACCACCGTCCTGACTTTGGGTTCTGCCCCTAAAGTCACAGGTAGGTCCATTGTTCATTTGGGGACTAGGCTGTCCCCAGTGAATCCATAGAGTGGTGATGGGTACGCCCTTAAGTCTCTCTTTGTAAACCTCATTTCTAGGAAAGCTCCCAAGAAGATGATGTTCGCTGCACTGACATTATCGACCATCATCCTTAGTACTCTAGCATTACCGATCCTAGTTGCAATTATAATGACATCATGATGGTGGCAAGGGAATTCTTCACACTTTTACACTGTGAATCCTATCACCTCGCTTTCTTGTCTTGGCCACTTTAGTGTCTTCTGCTCACAACTCATCACTCGGGGGACCGAGTTTGTTTTGGCCTCTCAAGCATATTCCTTCTAATAGTGCCTTAAGCTCCTTGTGATGTCAAGACCTCCGTAGATCATGCCTACTAGGACTTCATTGTTGGCATTGGGTGGAGCTTGCTAGATATGGTTATTCTGCTCGCCAATACTTTCGCGAGCTGGCACCTCCTTAACAAATTCTTTTAGGTGGTCCCTTTTGATCGTATCTTCAATGGCGTCTCTTGAAGCCCGACACTCATTGGTATTGGGCCAATGTCTCGGTGCTATTGGCAGTATTTCTATCGATCTCTTCTACCCAGAGGCCCCCTCATTCTTTTTGGAGCGCGCAATCTCTTAACCTCACAAGAGACTTCATATATATGAGCAATGTCTTGCGTGAGGGGGGTGTATTCTGCATATCGCGAGAAAGGTTATCTATCCCCGCAATTATCTGTTCTTTGTCTCTTTTGGGACCTGTTCTGTCTCTATCATTATGGTGTTGGCCCCTCCATTTGTCTAATAGGCGATCTTGTTGCCTGTCTAGGGCTTTGTGCGACGAGCTTCTAGCTAAGGCTGCTAACGAGCTTTCTCCTCGCTGGTGTTTTGTAGCCATCTGGTAAAACTTTGCCAGGCTCACATGATCCTCACTTTGGAGTTCTTTCCACAGCTCTATTTGTGACCTGATGCTTGCATCAGCAAAGTTCGGATTAACTATTCAGGTGTATCTTCGACCGTTGCTTACTCATTTTGGAACCTCGTTAAATACAAGGTTAATGTTTCGTCTTTCTCTTGATGAATGTTGCTCAAGTAGTTGAGCCACATTATGAAGTGTCTTCTCGCTTGAAATTGTTATAGGCACATTGAGGAGAATTACTGCCAAGAACTGATGGTGTTCGCCTTGAGTCTTTTGTACCACCTCTTAGCATCCCCTACCAATGTGGCTGCGAAGCAGTGGCACTTCGCTAAGTCGCATACCTGATACAGCTCCATTAAATCATTGAAAGTGTTAAAATGGTCTCTAGGATCTCATTTCCCATCGAACTTACTTTCTGGCGTCCTGAATCCCTAGGGAAGCGGGGCCTGGCAAACTTCTTCTGTGAAGGGAGAGCTCACTATCTCTTCCGCAGCATGGTTCTGGTGGGCTCTTAGATCGTCAAGCATTTTTTACACCCGATCCAAGTCTTCGTTGTGGTTGCCCTGGCTGGCTTTGTTAGGTCTTACCTTGAGCAAGTGAATTTGTAAATTTGTTGCTTGTGAGCCCCCTTCATTATGTGCATTGATACGCGAGGTTGAGTCATGATGGCTAGGCTAGTAGGTGCTATCATGCTCATTAGTGCGTTCTTTGCGACATCGATTATAACCAGAATGTTGATCATTGCCAGATTGGCAAACATGACTCGCCTTACGAGCTTGCGAGGTCTAAGCCTGCCTTGGGCGTAGGTTAAAACCGGCACACTAACGCTGGGGATTCTGCCGGGCAAGTTGAGTGTCTTTTGGGTGACCATTTCCTTCACTTTCCCTTATTAGCTGTTTTCTTGGTCACCTCCCAGGGTTAGTTTGCCCATAGGACTCACACTCGTGGGCGGAGTGTACTCTGTGATATTGTGGGTGTCGGTCACCCCTCAGTGCTGATGAACCAGATTGATCGTCTGCTGAATTCTGACCTGTTAAGGTAATATCGGTGAAGCGTGGCTGGTCAAGTTTTTGTGTGGTTGGTTGCTGATTTATCAGCTCAACCACATTCTGTTGCACTGCCTGTGCAACCATTGTTCTAATCATTTCCACCAATTGATTGTTCTTGGGATTTGACGTCCTTGCTCCTGGGTTATTCGTAGCCTGTTGAGTTGGCGGCATTAGTGGTCGACGCCCGGCAGCGTATTTGATATGAATTCATACAACCTCAATTCATATATCACCCTACTTCAATCAATTTCTAACTCAACCTAAACTAGGACTCACTTGTAACACCCTAAATCAAATTCAGCCAACACTCCACAAACACACACAACCCTTATGACAACTTAGAGCAACACTTTTTATCTATATTCAATCAACACAAACTCACTCTACTTGCAAACACAACACAAATGGGATCACAAACAAGGCAAATCAAATCCGGAATGAGATGAAAGTTAACTAAGGGAAAATAACTTACAAGAAAGATGACCAAGGATCAATCAAGCGTAAAGGAACTCCACCAACTTGAAAGATCAATCCACCACCAAGTTTGGCCGAACTTCGGTAAAGGAACTCAAAGAAAAAACAATTCTCCAAGGCAAACACTATTCATGCAATATTCAATGTCTAACTTCATATTATGAAAGAGTGGTCTTTAAATAGGCTTTACAAAACATTACCCTAAAAAATATTACACAAATATTACAACAAAATATTACACAAAAATTAAGGGATAATTCGCCACCATGCAATTACAAAAGTGTAAGTCATAGCCATTTAATGATATGGACAACCCTTCCTTAAATTATGGATCTATGTCCCTAATTACAATTTTCTTGATTTTCTTTCACCAATTAAACCAAAGAGCATCTACAACTTGGGCTTAGACTAATGAAGCTTCTTCCCACTTGACCTCCACGGCTTGGGCTACAAAAAAGGGCTTGTGCCATATCTTGGACCCTTAACACCTCTTGGACAAGTTTGTGAGCTTCCTTAAGTGCCTGGGCCAAATGTTGTCCTTCTTGGGGTCCTTGAATCGTCAATGAACATTCTTGTATGTTTAAAGAACATGATCGGTTTGGATTCTCATCAGTCTTGTTGCACCTTCTGGTGGGTGGTTTTCACATTGTTATGGTTTTCAGTGGTGATTTTCGATCTTGTACACACCATTGCGGGCATGGAGTGATTAGGCTACTGGGATTGCTTGCCGGAAATTCTGAGATTTTGGCGGAGGCCCTCCTTCTAGTGCCAAAATGTTGATGCAAGAATTACACCAACTAGAGTGATCCATATCGACCTTAATGGAATCGAAACTGATGTTTGTGTAATTACGGGTAACTAGTAGTGGGTAAATAATAAATGCTGTAAAGTAAATGGCAAAGAGATTTTTAAAGTGGTTTGGCGAGATGAACTCTTGAGCGTACGTCCATTGTTCTTGTATTTGCTGTGAGAGCTTATAATGGCAATCCTAGAAATATTTGCTAACCCCTTTCTCATCGTTAGAGGGGGTTTCTATACAGAGTTTGTACAAAGGAAAGAACGAAAATAAAGGGATTACAATTAAGTTTTAAATGCAACTCTGATATTCTCATAGTGATAGCGCAAAGATTTTTGTTGATCTGATCTTTCTCGAGATATCCAGGATCTGAAGTTCTTTGTAAATTGGTTGAATAATTGGAAGGATTGGTCGCGACTAGCTTATACTAGGTCGGACAATTGGTAGAGTCGAGTTGCTTTAGGATCAGGCTATAACCAAGCAATACTCCGAGCTTGGTGGAAAAATTACACACAACAGTTTTATAGTTAGTTTCACTAATAAACTGTTTGTTGATTAATTTTTTTTAAGGATTTAATAAACCTTAAGAAAATAAGAATATACAGTCTCTAGATTTATGTTGATTTGTCTGCGAAATAAACTTTTAGCTTTTTGAATATTCTTGTTTTGTTCTAAATTTTTGTTGATATATAAATCTCAGGAAATTGTAAGTTTATTTTCTTTTGGGCTTGTTTTTGTGATTTTCCCATATGTTTTCGCCGTTATCAATATGCGAAATCTAAGTACTACCAACCATTGGAAAATCCTCCTTTAATTTGTGAATTGCAGGCGCCAGGCAGGCGGAGGATAAGTAAAAAATATAGCTTGTTTTTAATGTTTCCTCCGCTAAAAATGTAGTTTGTTTTTAGTGTTTGTTTGATGGAGACTTCAATAAAGGGATCGGACAAAGCTTCATTCTTCATATGAAAATTTATATAAATGGTAAATTGAGTAATGTTTTGATATCTCAAATTAATTTCATTGAAGCTTCAGCAGGTAGAAAGGGAGGCAGCCATGACATTCCTTTGCAGATTTCTCATCTTCTTCGCGTTGCTTGGTGCTCAAATTCACTTCATCTCTAGTGTTACTGACTCTGGAGATGGTAATTTTCTTTTTTATTTTTGATTTTATTATGTGAATGATTGTGTTACAATTCTGTAATGTTTTAAAAGTTTGGACTCTTGTTTATCGACGTTTGCTGATTAATACTAAAAGACAAAATTTTGTAGTTTTAATGTAAGTAATATCAATTGAAAAATTGGTCATGTAGTATTTATCAATGTCAGTAAATTGTTAACCGAGGCTGGTTAATGAGGTTCGTAATTTTGATCCAACTTTTGATTGGTCTTATGTGAATGATTGTGTGATGTCGTGTCAAGTGTTGGCGTCCGTATATTTTTAAAATCTAGACCTCATTTATCCATGCATACTGGTTGATAATAAGAAACAAAATTTTATAGTTTTGGGAAGTATTGATTGATTTTTTTTTTTTTTTAAATGATAGTAAATTATTAAACGAGGGTGGTTAATGAGGTTCGTATTTTAAAATCTTGTCCCAATAAATCCCTTCAACGTTTATATATATGAAAATTATCAAATGTAACTTGAAATTCGGACTTAAACTGTCGCTAACAAGAATTAATTCTTACGTGCAAGAGCTGAAAAGAATTTGTGAAATTTTATGTTAAGTTTGTGAATTAAATTTCAGCTGGTTTTAGTGACCTTATTGAACTTTGATGGTACTAATTAAACATCTCAAGAACTAAAGACAAATGATTTGTTCTTCAGATATTCAGTAATATTATTTATTTAACTAACTGAAAACGATGTGGTGGCACAGCTGCGGTGCTCAAATCTTTGAAGGATTCATGGCAAAATACACCACCAAGCTGGCAAAATTCAGATGACCCTTGTGCATCCTGGGATGGAGTTTCATGTAAAAATTCAAGAGTCACTGCTTTGTAAGTATTAACAAAATAATATTTGGTTCTATTTATTTTAACAAGGAAAATAAAAAACAAAGAACATCAAGTTAAAACCCCTCAAAATAAACGTAAAACAATTGTTGGTTAAATCTCCGACTTAACCCTTACAAAAATTTCTGGGATATTTTGACTATAAAACAAACGAATGATAGCTTACCCCTAACCATGGGCGGATCTATTCAGAGTCGAGTGGGGGCTGGTGACCCCACTCAGAAAACTTGATGATATCTACTTGATTCAAGTACGCATGTCTCTAAAAACATTTGATGAATGTAACTACTTTGGATGCCTGTTGATAATGTATTATTTTCAGTTGAAGCAAATCTCATTAACTCATTTGTGTAAATTTCTTTTTCAGGGCATTGTCAACAGTGGGACTTGTGGGGAATCTTATTGGAGACATTGGAGGGCTCACTGAGTTGACATCATTGTCAGTTTTTTTTATTTTTTTCTTTTTTGTTACTTTCTAAGTTATACAAATTTAGTTGCATTGTTAATTGAAGTTATGCTTTTATCAATTTTGTCTTAGGGACCTTTCGTTTAATCAAGGTCTCAAAGGTTCATTCCCTCCGCTTATAGGAGATCTCCAGAAGCTGAACATCCTGTAAGATCCTATCGCTCTCTTTGCTAATTTATATATCTAGGTTTTCAGCCTGAAAGATTAGTCTATTGGGTGGCGTGACCATCCTCGTCCCAATGTCGAATGTGGAATTCTTGGAACTCCACAATAGTCCCTTGATCAAGGTATTCAATGGGGAAACAACTTAAAAAACTATCGTTTAAATAATGGATCGAGTCCATCACAATGGAAACCCAAAAAGACTAGTTTATTAGATGGGTTGACCTGACCGTCCTCTTCTCCATATAAAATGATACCTAACGAAATATATCTCTGTCTTTCATCTTTCAGAATCTTATCCGACTGCAGTTTCAGCGGTATCATTCCTGAAGAAATAGGCAATTTGGGAGAGCTCTCTTTCCTGTAAGAAATAGCTACAGCACATATTTATAACAGTACAAATTGGAGACCACTCATTGAAAAAACTCTTCATTTCCAGGGCTCTGAACTCGAACTTCTTCAGTGGACCAATCCCTCCTTCTTTAGGTAAACTCTCCAAGCTCTACTGGCTTGACTTGGCGGACAATCAATTGACAGGAACAATCCCAGTTTCTACAGTCAATTCTCCAGGATTGGACCTCCTCAAAAAGGCTAAACACTTGTGAGTTCTTGTGAAAATAATGAAAAAAAAATGAATTTGCAGCGTGCCGTTGACAAATAGTAACTTACATTTCATGAATTTGCAGCCATTTCTATAAGAACCGTCTTTCTGGTTCTATTCCCCCACAACTTTTCAGCTCTGACATGGTGCTCTTGCATTTGTAAGTTCGTATCTCATCCACCATTTAGTTTCTAACATATATATATAATGAATTCTTAAAATTTTTAGCATGCGAACTATAAGTGAGTATCTAAACATTAACTTCACAAACCTAGAATCAAAGTAAGCGATTAGACGCTCACATTTGATCCATACATTAAAAATTTTAGGACATCCGCATCTGAGAATTTTTGTATGTTATGTATATGTATAGATAATTATTCTTTAGTGTAGACATCCTAAAGTTTTTAACATTCAAACCAAAGGCGAGCAAGTATAAGTTGGCTTTACAAAATTGAGAAAAAAAAAAAAAATGCCAATGGTTATAAAATGGCCTTTAATCTGCATATTAAAAATTTCATAACGTTTCTAACTGAGAATTTTCATAAATATAGTCTTATGAATGCTTTTGAGTTTTTTAGTATTTGCATTTGAGAATTTTTGTTTGTTCAATTGTTAGATTACTTGATGGAAATCAACTTACTGGGACCATCCCAAGCACTTTAGGACTTGTTCAAACTCTTACAGTTCTGTAAGTAAAAATCTCCACAAATTTATCTTCTTCTTCTTATTTTTAATTTTTTTTAATTTAAAAATTTATTTCTTAACATTTTTATTTTCAATCTGCAACAGCCGGCTTGATGGAAATGCTTTGGCAGGAGAAGTACCATCAAATCTCAATAACCTTACATCCATCAACGAACTGTAAGCACTTATTTTTTAAGCAGATTTTTTCAGCTTTAATAATTAATCATATGAATAATTTTTTTTTTTTTTTTTCAGGAATTTGGCAAATAATGAGCTGACTGGTCCTTTTCCAGACTTAAGTTTAATGAATTATCTCAATTATGTGTAAGTTAATGGGACATGATCAGTGACCATTCTTTTATTTTTTATTTTTAAATTTTTATTCTGGGTTAATAAATTTCTCCTTTTAGGTTTCTTTCAAATACAATTTTTCCGTAAGGTATTTGAAATAACAATTTACCAATAACCGCCAGTGTGTAATTTAAAGGATCAAGAGTAACATAACCCAAAATACTACTAGAAGACAGTAAATTGTTATTTCTAATATCCGAGGGTGAAATTTAAATCAAGTAAATAGCGGGGAAAATTGTATTAAACTACTCTTTTATTTTATTTTTTTTATGGAGGATTTCTCTTTAAATGATTTATCTTTACAGGGATCTTAGCAACAATTCATTTGATCCATCAGATGCTCCATCTTGGTTCTCAACTTTGCCATCACTCACCACTTTGTAAGTCTTCTTTTTCTCTGTTTAAAATTGTGAAAAGAAAAAATCCCATTTCTCAAAAAGTCTCATAATTCTGAAGGTTTATGATTCTATATGCTTTCCAGAATAGTAGAACATGGTTCACTTCGAGGGCTTGTTCCAGATAAACTCTTCAGCTTCCCATTCATACAGCAAGTGTAAGTTTTCAGTAAAATTCTAAGGAATCTTTTAGAAATTAAGGGAAATTAGTCCTTTCATTTTTTACAATCCATAAATCCCCGAACTCGAGCTTTTTTGAAACCGAAAACAATGATTTTTAATTATGTAAAAGTGGGATTAAACCCGAAACAAACTACAAGGTTGATCATTCAATAACCTACTCAATAATGCTAGGTCTATAACCTTCTCTCAAAACTCTCGATGTGACAACTCGTTATTAGTTAACCCACAAATGCACAGACGAGACCCATACTAGCAACGGAGCCAATTTTATGAGCTGAATAGTGACAAGTTGTCACGTCAAAGGTTATGAAAGAATATTGTGAAATTAGATTATGGATCTAACATTACTCTAACCTATTTTAGAGAGATCTTTTTTAAACGTGCGTAATATTTCATAATCTTTGTCAACCTATAAAAAAAGTTATATGAAAAAACAAAAATACCCTTTAAAATATATTAAAATTTATTGAGCAGGTTGCATGTCATAATTAAAATGATGTAAGTAAGAGCACCCAGTGGCGCTCGAGACTCTTGATAACGTTCAATAAACATACAATTGTAAAAAGTTGAAAATGAACATGTAAGTAGGGGATTTTCTTTTTTCTGTTCTTTTATTTATTTTATATTTTGTTATCAGGAAGCTGAGGAACAATTCTTTCAATGGTACATTGAACTTAGGAGGCAAGGTTGGTGAACAGTTGCAGCTTGTTGATTTGGAGAACAACCAAATTTCTGCACTAGCATTATCTGAAAACTCCAACCATACATTAAACTTAAAGTAAGACAATTTAAAGTATTGTTTTCAGATAAACATGTCGAACGTGTTTTCGTTTTTACATTTTAAAGTATTGTTTTCAGATAAACATGTCAAACGCGTTTTCATTTTTGTCATCTCCAATCATTTTCTATCTTTTCAGAAAACAAAAAAATAAAAAATGGATTCATGAAAAACACACTCCAAAATTAGCTGATGCCAAAAGACAGGCCGAATATTGACATTGCTATTCTCTTCAGGCTTGCAGGGAACCCATTGTGCACTGGATCCCTCTCAAATCTCAGCTTCTGCCAGGGCCTGCAACAAGCTGGAAAGCCATATTCAACCAGCTTGGCTCACTGTGGAGGCAAATCATGCCCTTCTGATCAGAAACTCAACCCACAGAATTGTACATGTGCCTATCCATATGAAGGAGAATTGTATTTCAGAGCACCCTCCTTCAGGGATTTGTCCAATGTGAACTTGTTTCATGCTCTAGAGATGAGCCTGTGGGTGCAATTGGGGCTCAACCCTGGTTCAGTTTTTCTGCAGAATCCATTCTTAAATACTGACGACTACCTTCAGGTTCAGGTGGCTCAGTTCCCATCTGGGGGACTATATTTTAATAGTTCAGAAGTCGAGTGGATCGGATTGCAGTTTGCTAGCCAAATCTACAAGCCTCCTCCGGAGTTTGGCCCCTACTTTTTCATTGCTTCTCCTTACCACTTTCCTGGTTACTAAATCTCCCATTCTTTCTGTTGAATGTAATAATCATAGAATGGTGAATTGACTAGAGACAGCCATTCTGATTCATGAATTTGTTCAGAATAAAGTAATTCAAGATTTGCTTGTAATTTACAGTTAAATCTATATAGGTCCTTAAGGGTTTATCATCAAAGCGTTCATAGTCACTTATCATAGAAGCGAAAATCACAAACATTTCAAAGTGAGAACGAAAAGAGTATTATATCAAAAACCAAGCAAGAATAACCGTTTAATATTATACAATTACATCGTCAAAAACTTAATTCAACATATCGTCAAAAAAACTTCATACAATTAGTTACAAAAGTCTGTCCTCATCATGAATGTAAGTGTCAAAAATTGGTATAAGGCATAGAAGATAGCCCCAAGGTTTTGAACCATAAGGGGCTATAATATCGAGAGCTATCAACTGAGACAATTTTACAGTAATGAAAAATAATTAAATAAATAAGTGGGAAATTCTATTCATGGTAACAGAATTTCTATTATCCAAGAAAACAGTTTGCTCAAAAATGGTCTAAAATTGGTTTTACCTTCCATTGTTGGTCGATTTTCAATTCAATAACTCTATGCTTTTTTCACTCACTTTGCCTTCATTAAGTTTTCCTTCTTCGTGAACTTCGCTTCCTCCATTAATTTTGTCTTCTTCCTGAAGTTGGCAGTCGTCATTAGCTTTTCCACCTTCATTAATTCTACCTTCTTCACCAACTTTGCTCACTTCATTAGCTTTGCCTGTTTCATTAACTATTCCTTCTTCCTTAGCTTTGCCGCCTTCATTAATTTTTCCTTCTTCATCAATTTTGCCTACTTCTTTCGCTTTGCCCGCTTCATTAACTGTACTTTCCTTAGCTTTGTTGACTTCATTATATTTTCCTTCATTAACTTCACCTGTTTCATTAACTGTTACTTCTTCATCAGCCTTGCCGCCTTCATTAATTTTTCCTTCTTCCTCAATTTTGCTGCCTCCAATAATTTTTCCTTCTTCGTTAACTCTGCCGACTTCATTAGCTTTGCCTGTTTCATTAACTGTTCCTTCCTCATTAGTCTTGCTTTCTTCGTTAACTTTGACTCCAACACTAGCTTTGTCTTCTTCCTTAGCTTTGCCTTCTCCATTAACTTTTTCTTCTTCATTAACTTCTCCTTTTTCATCATCTTTGCCTTCTTCACCAACCTTATCCACGACAGTAATTTCCAATGGCCCAAGTGTTGCCTCAACATTCTTGATCGCAAAGGTCAGAGATCTGATATCTGGAGCTTTCATGAACCTATCTAAGGATGCCTGTCATAAAAAATGATAAACGTTGCAATTAACCATAAGTTATCTAATCATTATTATATAACTGTTACAAGTAGGATAAAAGACCGTAACAATACATGGCAACTTTAGAGCTTCCATAATTCAGCATATAAATGTTTTGGCTGCAACGTCGTCACCAAATCCCAAAAGCTTTACATTAAATAAAAATGTCTGAAAGATTTTGTCAGTTGGTGATCCTTCTAACAAACAAAGCATTAAAAGCATAGAATACAAAATTCTGAAGCTAGAACAATTCTGCGATGATACTAAATATTAGAAACCCATAGGTAAACTCTATTGCATGGTACCTACTTTTTAAACAGAATGAGAATGTGAAGTTGAATAATCATATGCCAAAACTTGGCGGCAGCCAGAATAAAAGATGAAGAAATTGTAAAAATCTCATCTAAAAACATCAAGGTCACTACTTACTACTATTTTGGGCTTTGCAGAATTCAACAACCATAAATTGGGACACACCAAGACGATTATACAATCAATATGCAGATGTTAACATAATTTATGGCTTCCCAGTTGGACCTTCCACGAGTTAATAAACTTCAGGACGTAGTCATGAAGCACTATATTTGGTTCCCCATTAGATCCCTATCGCATGTGGAAGCTTTTTACAGTTATACATGTCTCTGTGTCATTCTCCATTCCTCAGATTATATTACGACAAGATTAGGTATAAGTTCACAAATATGAGAAAGCTTGTTTAATCACACATCTGTTTTACCAAGAAACCACAGCTTGACATGGGAAAGTACGAGTTACAATGTTTGCTAATGACATTGAGATTCTGTGCCGTTCTTCTGTTTTTTTTTTTTTTTTTTTAGTAAGCACAGGAAACCATATAAGAGAAAAGAATGATTTCTGATCAAGACAAACGATATGCATTGCTCTTAACCATGCCACAAAGACAGGCCACCTATCCTTATGACATTATATCAGCAATTAAGCGAATCAAAATTCAGAAGTTCCCAAAACAAAAACATATGCATTCACATTTGACTGACCTGTTTTAGTTGTTCTATCCGTTTTTCAAGATCCCCCACAGATACTTCCTTGTGAATAATTTGAAGAATATATAACAAGTGAAAATTTAGGTTCTCCTGACGATGGTGCTCTATCATACATTGAGGTATAGGGGTTTTACAGCCCACTGCATAGAAAGGGCAGTTGACAAGCTTCATTGGACACACAGTTATGCAGTGCCTGTCCATCGCTCGTCTCATGAGGCTATCTGAGCACTTTTGTTCGCATGGAATTATCTTGAAAGGGCAAACTGAATCATGATGTTCCAATTGGCTAGCAGAAAATATGGCATTACAACCCTCATTTTCACAGAGCATAGACTTAAAGCCACAGTTGGGAACATGCTCGGTGAGTTCTTCCATTGTACTAAATTTCATGTCACAATGAAACGTGTTCTTGAAATCAACATTCTTCAGCAAAGTTTGTGCAATGGCTTCTCTCCTTTCTGTTGGCCAAAACCCACTTATTTCCATCTCTTGTACAAAATCATCTATCTTATCTTCTCTCTTGTCACTCAACAACCATCCCGAAACCCGACTAAACAAATTCCTCTTCAAACTAGCAAAGTCATCAACGAAATCAGAAATGATATCAAATGGATGATCAGACGCTTCCCCCTCCTCGCCTTCTAGTATAACAGACTCCGCAACAAAACTTTCACTTCTCTGGGTAAGGTATTGCACCATTTCAGTCCTAATATCAACCGCCACAGTTCCAGGGGTCTTGAAGATATCACCTGTCGTGTTATCAACACATGCGGTACCTAATCCGGGAAGGAACGCTTGTGCTATCTTGTGAACTATTTCTTTATCAGATAGATGACAATGAAATGAAGGACTTCCCTTGTTTTTGTTTTCAATCTTCTCCGGTAAAAGCTCCTCAGCTGAAGCAACATTTGCATCCATGTTTAAACTTACCTACAGAACAGAAATTCACATCCAATACAATCAAAAGAGACAAAAATCAAAACTGCTCTAACCATTAAATTAAAAACACATTAAATTTCAAAACCAATTCAAATCTCCCTCCAAATCAACAGCATTGCATCAATATGAGAAACTAAACATAACATTTCCCAAAATTCCCATTTCAAAAACACAAATCTACCAAAATAAAAAAGTTAAAACTCAAAAATTAAAGTATTTGAAAGATGAAGAAAAAAACATACATTAAATTTCAAAAACGAATTCAAATCAACAGCATTGCATCAATTTGAGAAGCTAATTTCACCAAATAAAGTAACATCTGAGCATTTCTCAAAATTCCTCTTCATAAAACAAAATTATCAAAAGAAAAACATAAAATAACTCGAAATTTAAAGAATTTGAACAGAGCAATGAGAATTACCCGGTATTTAAATTCCCAAATTGAAACGTTTTGGAGATCCAATCAATCAAGAAGCCTGCAAAAATCAACAAATTAAAACCCAACAGAATCACATTTCAAGAAGTAATTTTGAAAATAAAATTAGGAATTTAGAAAAAAAAAATTACCTTTAATTAGGCGTAATCTCTCTCTCTCTCTCTCTCTCTCTCTCAGCTCCCTCTGAATTTTAGTGGTGGGGGCTTTTGTTTTTGTTTTTGCTTAACTGTTTCAACGGTCTTGGGTGTTGACTAGAATATACCCTTCGGTCCGTGTAAAATTACTGGAAGGTCCCTAAAAAAGTATCACTTTCCATTTTAGTGGATCAAAAAATTTGCTATATCAACGGATCAAAATGTAATTAGTCCAAACCATAATTAAGCTCCGCTCCTTCCTTTGACTCCTTTTCTACATCCTTCTCCGATCCTTCACGAACTGCCGTCGCGGACGACGAAGCCGGAGCCACTGCTCATCCGCTGCTTCGAGTAAAATGAAGAAAACCTTGGGCATTGGGATAAAATCGGCCTAAGATTCTGATCCAACTGGTGGGTGCTTCGTTTTTGCTTTTCACTGTGATTTTTATTTGGGAAGCTTGTTTTTTTCGGCCATGCAATTTTTTAGAAGTCGTGCACGCGGAGGTGATAGAGAAAGAAGAAAAATTCTGGATTTTAAAAAAAAAAAATTAATTTCAGTTGAATTTAATTTGTTGAGGAAATGTGCAAAAGGGGTGTTTTTGTTAAATTTAAAAGTTGGGTTTCTAAACAGTGGTGGGAAACTTTTTGCGGCCAAATTCCAGGTTAACGGTTGCCGGAAATACGTTTTATGAGTCACCAATGAACATAATTAGCTGAGATTTGAGCTTAAACTTTGCCTTAAGAAGTAAAAAAGATCAATTACCATGTAAATTTTTTATTCTTTTTCAGTTATAATTATAGAATTATAAGCAAAATTTGTTGTTTTTTTCTTACTTATTTGAACTGTTCTAGAGTTTTAGGTTGTTCGAAATCGTTTGTTTATTGAGTGGTGGGCATGTTTTGAAACGGGGTGTTTTTTGGTCAATTTTAAAGTCTGGGTTTCTTGGGAAAGAGGAATAAATTGTTTCATTTCAGATAAAAGTTGAAGTTTTTGGGGTTTATCATGTTATTGATACTTATTATGATGGTTCTAGGCTTGACTTGTAGTTATAAGTGTAGAATTAGAAGCGAAATTTGTTTGCATTTTTCTTATTTATTTGAAATCTTGTGGTGTTTTTAGGTTTAAATACAAGTGATTTTTGGCAATGGCGACAGCTACATATCCACCACCGCCACCCTTTTATCGTCTCTACAAAGATTACTTAGAAAACCCTAATTCAGCTCCGGCACCTCCACCTCCCATTGAAGGGACTTATGTTTGTTATGGTGGCAACTACACTGTAAGTTTTCTTTTTTTTTTTTTTTTTTTTTAAATTGCACAAAGTGGGGATGATTGCATATGCTCTGGTTGGAATTTGGTGTTATTGAGTGTGTGATTTGCATTCACATTGTATTTTTATGTATTAATTGGTAGGTTTTCATGTGGTTTTTTTATAGACTGATGATGTGCTTCCAAGCTTGGAAGAGCAGGGAGTGCGTCAGCTTTATCCGAAAGGACCAAATGTCGGTATGTTTATATTTGCTTTGGTATTTGTGAACTTAGAAAACTCTTGAAATTGAGTTGGGTTTAGAAGATTGTGGCATTAAGTTAATATTGTTGAGGAACATGATAGTTGGGAGGGTTGTGTACTCGCTTCCTTGCTTAGCCTATGATAAATAATATGTTGATGACATTTCTAACACTGCCTTGTGTAGATTTTAAGAAAGAACTGAGGTCGCTGAACAGAGAATTGCAGTTGCACATACTGGAGCTTGCTGATGTCCTTGTTGAGAGACCATCTCAATATGCTAGGAGAGTGGAAGATATATCCCTTATATTCAAGAACTTGCATCATCTTCTCAATTCATTACGACCGCATCAGGTAGAATACTGTTATCTGAGCATGCTTTTTTTCTTGGTTCATTTTTTGAGAATTCTAAGACATTGATTGTGCGGTGTCTTTTACCTTACAGGCTAGAGCAACATTGATACACATATTAGAACTTCAGATACAACGCCGTAAACAAGCGGTCGAGGATATTAAGAGGTATGATATTTTAATACTTACTGAAATAGTTAGCTTGAAAATGGAATTGTCTGAGTGAAGTGCGATTCAGTCCTGATTATTGTCATTGATATTTGGTTATATAGTTGATCTACAATAAGAAAATTCAAGTGTTTGAATAGCCCCACTGCTCTTGCTGAATGATTGGTTAATGCCAATAGACATAGAATTGAATTTTACTATATTTATCTTCTCATGTTGCTTATCATCTTTGTGAGGTACCTGCATTTAACCATTACCAACTTTGTATTACACATAGATAAATTGGCCTTGCTTTTTCTCAGCTTTGGTTGTTTCTCTCGGTGGAATATTTTGAGATTGTCATAGTGTGATCTCAATCAGTTTGTTTTAGAACCTATTTCCAAAACAATTAAATATTATTGTCGAGTGTGCATAGAGTAGGTTTCTGCTTATTAAATGAATATGAACGTATTTAAGTTTTGTTCTAGCCCATTGAGATTTTGAAGCTAATCTTAAAAGTTCTACCTCTTGCCGTCCTTATCAGCCCCGAGCTTAGATGTGGTGCTTGGCTGAAGAAATATTCTGTTCCCATAGCTTCTTATAACCTTTCAGAGTGTTTCTTGTGAAGGTTCTAGAAAAATTTTCCTTTTCCCAATCGTGGAGCATATTATACTGATGCATAGTTAGAAAAGAGACAAAAAAGAAAGTAGTAGTTTCGTATCCCTGACAATATATTCCTTTAGCTGTAGTAGACTTTTCTGACTGTTGTCATTGTTTCATTTTGCTTGTCCAGGCGGAGAGAAGAAGCGCAGAGACTTCTCAAGGAATCCCTGGGAACCTTAGATGGACAGTAGTGTAACTGAATCATATATTTCTGTTGAAAACGCTGTAGCTATACACATGCCAATTTGCAAGAAACTTCTATTGCCCCCCGGCCTGTGGATTCCGAGATGTGTTGCTGTTACAATCTGCAATTCTGGGGCTCCATATACTTTATGTATGGGGAGTTCTTCTTTGAAGAATGTTAGCGTTTGTCAAACTATTGATATTTCATTAGGCTTTGTTCGGTCGATGTAAGCTAGCTGCAAATGTTTGGAACATCCATTAATTGCTGTAGTACTTCGATTTCTAACCGCTGTAGCCCACATTGTTTCCCTTTTAGTGTGAGAAAAATGGAAGGCCTAACTGGCTATGTCCACATGTGTTAGGCTGCTGAGAACCATTAGGGTAAGGAATTTGATATCCCAGACAACATAATTAGGATGTGATTGTTTTTGTTCTATTATTTTAGGAAGAATCTTTGAAAAAGTTGAGTTAGGTGTTTATTACGATCTAAGATTTAAAAATTACAAAAACACCTTCTAAGTTTGTTAATTTTGAAACACCCCTATAATAAAATATTGAAATTAACAAAAGTATTTTCACCCACCCATTAAATGTCGGCAGTCGGCCACTAAAGCCAAGGGTGGTCGACAATCACCGTAATGGCGTATGATCAGTTGAATCTAGCAAATCATGTGTCGATATAGCCTTTTATGTCAGATCCACCTTGGATTTGGTCGAAAAATACCAAATCTAGTCACGTTTGGTCATCAACGACGGCAAAAATTATGAATGTCGCTGACAACCAGCTACAATCAAAGATCTGGCTTTTTTCGGCTAGATCCATGGTGGATTTGGTCAGAAAAAGTTAGATCGGTACATCACTGGCTAGATCCAACCGATAGTATGTTATTACGTCAGATTTCGACCATCTTTTGGTAGTAGTAGTCGGAATATGGCAAATGTGGGTGGGTGAGGGTGTTTTTGTCAATTTTTAAATTTTTATTTTTTTAGTTAAATTAACAAACCTAAAGGATTTAAGAATAGTTTAATAAAATTAAATTAAATTTTCAGAATACGAAAACAAATGTATATTTTGGGTAAAATTGAAATAGGATAGAGCATAAATAATGCCCCAAACACAGCCTTTTTACAAATAAAAATTATAAAAATTATTTTTTTTGGAAATTAGGTCTTCTTAATCATCTGTACGAGAGTTTAGATTTGAACGAAGGAGTGAAACATAACTTGAAAATTTTATTTTGTTTAATTCTAAAGACATATTAAATATAAATCTTTTTATTTTCTATATTTTTAAATTAAATTAAATTAAAATTATGTATATTGATAAAATTTTCTCTTTATTTACCTTATAATCTTAAATATTAAATCGTATATTATATTTGGTAAAAAGATAACGTGTAATAACGCCGTTATCCAAAAAATAAAATAAAAACAGAAACAAAATTAAAAAAACAAATGATCCTGATGACTCATCATTTATATCAATCAAGTCCTCAATAATAACAATAAATAAATAATTATAATAATAGCAAGCTCGAAGCTCCAATCTCGCCATGAACCTTCTTCTCCAGCTGCCCTAGTACCTCCTCCTCCTTCTTTCTGTCTTCAAATTCAAATTCAAAATCGAATCTGACTAACTAACCGATCCTAGCTCCTCCGTAACGGTCGAATCATGGCGGTTTCCGAGGAGGAGTGTTCGACAACCAAGTCGCGATCGTCGCCGTCCTCCTCTTCGGTAGTCGCGCCTTCTAAAAACGTTCACTACCTCGCCAAGTGTGTTCTCAAAGGCAGCGTCATCCTCCACGTCGCCTACGGCCACCTCCGCTCTCCTTCCTCAAACGACGTCGTTTTTGGCAAGGTACTTCATTTTTTTTTTTTTTTTAAATTTCTTCATTATTCGCCTACTTTTTAAATTCGTTGCGAGCTCTGTGCTGTGTTTTTGATGCCAGTTACTGATTTACTTTGAAATGTTAACGAAAGCGGAATCTGTTGGCTAATTTAGTTACTGATCGTGTTACCTTACTGGAGCGGTAACTGTACCGGAACGGTTTTTAGTAATTTATAGCTGGCATTCTGCTGTGTGTTAATATGAGTTAATAATTTACTTTAAAATGTTAATGGAAGTAGAGTGTATTGGCAAATTTCGTTACTTACAGTTTTGTTAGTGTTAGGATCATACTACGTTGCTGGACTGGTAATGGTACGAGGACACGTTTTATTAACTTACTTTAGTAATTTTTGTTTTGTTCATTTTATCCTGCAAATTGTTACATTATTGCCTACTTTAAAAAAAAAAATAGCTAGCTCTCTGCTGTGTTTTAATATCAATTAATAATTTACGTTGAAATGTTAATGGAAGTAGAATCTATTTGCATATTCAGTTACTTACAGCTTCAAATGCAAGGATCATACTACCTTACTGGAATGGGTAATGGTTCCAGGACTCTTTTTAGTAACTTTACATTTGCAATTTTTGTTATGTTATTTTGGTAATTTTACCAGGATTTGCTCATGGAAACATAGCAATTCCTGTGTTGCTCTTTAATATATTTTTTTCATTTTCTTCCTACAAATTCTTACAGTTTTACCCATTTTCAAAATTAAAAGCCAGCTTTCTGCTTTGTTTTTAATGTAAATTATTACTTTGAAGTGTTCACGGAAATAATATAATGGCAAGTTTAGTTACTTACAGTTTCATTGGTGCAAGAATCATATTAAGTTACTGGAGTAATTCTGGTATTGGGATGCTGCTTAATAACTTTGCATTAAAAAAAAATTCTTCTTTTTATTTCAGTTATGTTACCAGCATTTACTTGTGTAAACATTGTGATTCCCTTGTTGCAAATGTACAATTGAAGTTTATGTTTTCTTGTTCATCACAAGTTAACAAGATCAGTTTTATCTTTACACTTGCCAAATGCCACTTAATTGATTTAAGTCTCCTTGATGCATAAATGGTATTCTTGGACTTATATAAAGTTAGGGTTCATACTAGAGTATTTTTTTTTCTTCGAAAGAAGTTTTGTTTGATGTGTGATAATTGGGCGTTGCTTGTTTCATTTATCAGAGGTACATTAATTGCTCATAGTGGTGTTGCGGCTGTGCTAATTTAAGGAATCAATATGGAAGTTTATACTATAATAGGTGTTTTTGTAGACCCTTTGAATAGGATGAAGACACATACATGGAATCACACAGGGTTGACGATTGAAAACCTGTCCTCTTTTATATTTTCCAAGTAAATGCCTCTAGAGTATTTGGTGGTTTCTTTTTTTTTCTTTTTTTTGTAATCCTTTTTATCTTGTGGTAAATCTAACGATGATTTGATGATGGTATGTTATTTAGGAGACATCCATAGAATTGTTAATAATTGGTGAAGATGGGATTGCTCAATCAGTTTGTGAGCAGGCTGTATTTGGCACGATTAAGGATCTTGCTGTCATTCCTTGGAATAAGAAGTTCTATCCACGAAATCCACAGGTCTTTTAGAGAATTTACTTGTAATGAACACCTTATGTTATATTTACTTTTAGTTTCATTTGCCATAGTAGAAAATTTTGTGGCTATCTTTATGGTTCTTAATGACTCTTTTTCCTGAATGAGGAAGTCTCTCTGATGACAGACAATCCTCTTGGCTAAAATTATTTACTTGGTTTTTAAACACTTTTATTGCATTTTCCTTTCTTAGATGCTGCAGAAAGATCTTTTGGTTATCATCTCTGATTCTGGGAAGCTCTCCTTTCTGACATTTTGTAATGAAATGCACAGGTTTACGACTTTTTCATGCTTAGCTCAATATAGCTTTTCCCTAAGAAGGCATGGTTGTATGACATCTTGAGGGTGTTTACTTATTTCATGATAAGTTACTTATTGTTTGATAGGTTTTTTCCGGTGGCGCATGTTGAACTTTCTCATCCAGGAAACTCAAGGCACCAGCTTGGAAGAATGCTAGCTGTTGATCCCAGGCAAGTTGTTGTGTGTGAATTTTTTTTTCCTTTTGGGTTTTACCTTAGTTTTATTTTGTTCTCCAGTCCTTTTATTTTGGCTTGAAGTTGGTTGATTATTTAGCTGTCATAACCTTTAGACTGACCGCAGTCTCTGGATTTGTGTGTCTATAATGCTTTATAACTGCTAACAGAGCAATTTTCTTAGAAACATGTCACTGTTTGTATAGATCTATTTGGTTGGAAAGGGCATTAATAATTTCTATATGTTTTTGTATGATGTGGTAACATGATAGGTTTTTTTTCTTTTTCTTTTTTTTCTTCTGTTTTAATTTTGCCTCTGATATTGCTAGTAGTTTTCCTAACTTGCATGCTTTCTTTCTACAGCGGCTGTTTCATTGCTGTTAGTGCATATGAAGATAGATTGGGTCTTTTCTCCCTTTCAAAATCTTTGGGAAGTGATATCATTGATAAGGTCAATATACAAATCCTCATTTGTTTTAGAGTAGTTTTATATTATAAGAAGGCATTTTCTGGAATCAATGTATTCAGGTACATTATGCTGAAATAACATTCTGTGTGGAATTATTGATTTTTTTTTTTCCTTTTTTTGTGGCGAAAATTTCAGAAAATATGCTATCCTCCTGAAATTGAAGATGATCCAAGTACTTCTAGAAGCATCCAGAGCACTGGTATAAATGGTACCATATGGAGTATGTGTTTTATTTCAAAAGATCCTAGCCAACCAAATAAGGACCATAATACCGTACTAGCCATTATTCTGAATAGGTATGAGAATTTTATTTGTGAATTTGCTATTTAGGGAGTTTATAGTTACCTTTCCACTGTTTAGATGGCTGCCAAATGAAATTTATCTCTGTTTTTATTGGTTTCTTTCTACTGAAATATTAAAGTAGATGGTGTTATTTCTGGCACTGCAGGAGAGGAGCACTCCTGAATGAGCTGCTGTTATTGGGATGGAATATTAGGGATCATGCTATACATGTTATTTCAGATTTCTTTGAAGCTGGGCCACTAGCACATAACATTGTTGAAGTTCCTCACTCTTATGGATTTGCCTTTCTGTTCAGGATTGGTGATGCTCTGTTAATGGATCTTAGAGATCCTCAGAACCCATGTTGTGTTTATAGAACAAGCTTAAATTTTTTGCCGCCTGCGGTGGAGGAACAACATTTTGTTGAAGAGTCTTGTAAAGTACATGATGTTGATGATGAAGGTTTGTTTAATGTTGCTGAGTCCTTACTGGAGCTGGGTGATGATCCAATGTGTATAGATGGTGATGTTGCTGACGTAAAATCACCCTCCAAACATGTGTGCTCGTGGAGTTGGGAACCAGAAAATGATAACAGTCCAAAGATGATATTTTGTGTAGATACCGGAGAGTTTTTTATGATTGAAATTGCTTTTGATTCTGATGGCCTTAAAGTTAATCTATCAGAGTGTCTCTACAAAGGTCAACCATGCAAAGAGCTTTTGTGGGTTGAAGGTGGTTTCCTGGCTGCACTTGTAGAAATGGGGGATGGAATGGTCTTAAAAGTGGAAAATGGAAGGCTAATGCACATGAGTCCCATTCAAAACATTGCACCAATATTGGATATGTCAGTTGTGGATTACCATGATGAGAAACGTGATCAAATGTTTGCCTGTTGTGGAGTGGCACCAGAGGGATCATTAAGGATTATTCGTAGTGGTATTAGTGTGGAAAAGCTATTGAGAACTGCTCCTATTTATCAAGGCATCACTGGTACTTGGACATTGAGGATGAAAGTGACTGATCCTTATCATTCTTTTCTTGTACTGTCATTTGTGGAAGAAACCAGGGTACTATCAGTTGGTTTAAGCTTTACTGATGTGACTGACTCCGTCGGGTTCCTGCCTGATGTCTGTACTTTGGCATGTGGCCTTGTTCATGATGGTTTGCTGATCCAAATTTACCAAAATGCAGTCAGGCTTTGTTTACCAACCCAGGTTGCCCATTCTGAAGGTATCCCTCAGTCAAGTCCAGTGTGCACATCTTGGTTCCCAGATTACATAAGTATCAGCTTGGGGGCAGTTGCAGATAATCTAATCATTGTTTCTACTTCTAATCCATGCTTCCTATATATTCTTGGGGTCAGATCAGTCTCAGAATATCATTACGAAATATATGAAATGCAGCATTTGAGATTGCAAAGTGAGTTATCATGTATTTCCATACCTCAAAAACGTCTCGCTGAAAGGAAATCAAGTTCTCACATCAGTCTGGTTGACAATAGCACAGTTGCTGCCCTTCCTGTTGGAGTTGACATTGGTTATACCTTTGTTATTGGCACACATAGGCCCTCAGTGGAAATTCTGTCATTTGTACCTGAAGAAGGCCTAAGAGTACTTGCTTCTGGGAAAATTTCTTTGACAAATACTATGGGAACTGCTATCAGTGGCTGCATTCCTCAAGATGTGAGGCTTGTATTAGTTGACCAGTTTTATGTTCTTGCAGGTTTGAGGAATGGTATGCTCCTTCGGTTTGAGTGGCCTCCTGCCTCAAATATGTCTTCACCTAAATTACCTAGTCATAGTCCTATTAGTGCTTCTTTGATAAATGCAAATACAGTGACTGTGAATTCTTTTGGCTCACAAATATGTTCTGTTAATTTATCTGAGAAGACTATGGATGTACTTCCAGTTAATCTTCAATTGATTGCAACCCGTCGCATTGGCATTACTCCTGTTTTCCTTGTTCCCCTGAGTGATTCATTTGATGCAGACATGATTGCTCTCAGTGACAGACCATGGTTGTTACAAACTGCGAGGCACAGCCTTGCTTATACTTCTATCTCATTTCAACCTTCAACTCATGCGACTCCTGTATGTTCAGCTGAATGCCCTAAAGGAATTTTATTTGTTTCAGAGAACAGTTTAAATTTGGTAAGAATCTCTTTGGTATTATTGACAGAAGTGGTTGTTTTGCTTTCATTATCTTTATGATATTTTTTCTTACCAACGTGTTAAAAATCACATTTGCACTGCTGGGGATTCCCAGGAACTGAAAAAAAAAAAAAGTGATCCAAGGAAAATCTAGTTCTGGAAGCAACTAGTAAATATGAATTACGCTCACTATGGTGGTTGTAATGATATATTCATCCGATATATGGCTTTCATGTCATTTCATATGAGTTACTGGATTGTTAGATTCCCAGGAACTGAAAAAAACAAAAAGTGATCCAAGGAAAATCTAGTTCTGGAAGCAACTATTAAATATGAATTACGCTCACTATGGTGGTTGTAATGATATATTCATCCAATATATGGCTTTCATGTCATTTCATATGAGTTACTGGATTGTTAGATTCCATGGTTATATATTTATCAGTGAAGTTCATTCATAGAGGTACTTTTCTATTCATCCAATATATAGCTTTCATATCATTTCATATATGAGTTACTGTATTGTTAGATTCTTATGGATATATATTTAGATTCCCATGGTTATATATTTGGGTCAAATCTAGCAATAGTTTAGATGGTCTTTTATTATACTAAGCAAAAGTTGAACATTGAACATTGCCTTCAATTGTATAGTTGGACTTTAGAACTAAGCTAATGCAGTTCGGTAACTTAACTGTGCAATTGTCTCAGTGATCTAGTGGATCTGAATATAAATTATGGATTCAAGATTACAATAAGTAGATTAGAATTATGTCTGGTGTTTTTGCAGTGAATGAAAGGAAAATTCTTCTTTCTTTTTTTTTTAAAAAAAAAATGTTGCACAAATTTGCAATGTTGGTTGCTTCATATGCTTATAAAGACGGGTAAGACCTCCATAATTTTGAGTTCAAAATGAGACCACATTGATGGATGCTCTTCAAAATCAACTGTTATAGTCCACAATTCACTGTACAAGTGTTTTCAGATTTTAAAATGATATGGGACTCAGTTGGAACCTAAATCTGGTTGGTCCTATCATCATCCTCCTTTCATTTTCCTTTTGTTTTGTGTCATAAGATGATCATGATCAAAGAATTATTCTTCAAAACATTGGTAATCTGAATTTTATTTTATTTTATTTTATTTTTTTGCTAGGAAACAAAGATACTCTATTAAAATAAAAGGTATACAAGCATGTATGTGATATATTAAATCATTTGAAAGATGGTTTGTTGAATTTTCTCTCTTAAGTCAGTTAGGTGTATATTGATTGTCGTGAATGTAGTCGTATTAGGTTATAAATCATGCTAGAATTTCATGAGAAATTTCACAGTTCATTAAATGGGTTGAGGCATTTGGTGGAAACCAATTGAAGATTACAGTTATCTTATTATGTACCCCACCTCACATTCATGTTGCCTTTCTTGGATATGACATTTTTTTTCATTCAATGTGTCAGTGTTCTGTTTCCATGTTAATTATAGTTTATCTGATACTGAAGAGGAGCTGCCTTGGTTGTTTGATGCTACAGAGGATCTGGTACTGACAACTTTTATGCTTCCATTTATTTGAACATATTATCTTAAAATGCTAAAGTATATCTAGTTAAATTATCTGTATACATGACTATCTATGGTTCTGTATGTTATTAAAATAATAATGATAGTAATAGTTCTGAAATCAACTTGGTGATAATAGTTCTTATGTCCATATATGCGAGGGCATTTTTTATCCTGAACCAAATTGGTTGCTGTTTTCTGTTGCTTACTTGCTTTCCATGCTCTGATGTTCTTGAATTCAATTTACTCTGAGAATGAAAAAGTTTTAATTCGTTGATCAATTGTTTTCATGTTACTGCTTTATTTCTAATTTATGATAAAGTTTTTGTTGTCAATTCTTTCTAAATTATATATTAGTATTATTATTACTCTGCCTATTTGGTTGACATACATGATCTTCAATACTTAATGCTTTAGGTGGAGATGGTGCACAGTAAGAGGCTTAATGTGCAGAAATTTCATCTTGGAGGCACTCCGAGGAAGGTCCTTTATCATAGTGAAAGCAGGTTATTGGTTGTGATGAGGACTGAATTGAGTAGTGATACTTGTTCATCTGATATATGTTGTGTAGATCCCCTCAGTGGGACTGTAATATCATCACAGAAACTTCAGCCCGGAGAAACAGGAAAATCCATGGAGTTACTGAGGGTTGGAAAAGAACAGGTTGTGGTGGTTGGAACCAGTCTGTCTTCTGGTCCAGCTATAATGCCCAGCGGTGAAGCTGAAAGGTATACTATTTGTGTTTTTTCTTATTAATCTCTCTCTCTCTCTCTCTCTCTCTCTCTCTCTCTCTCATGTATTTATTTATTTTTGGAGGGAGAGCGGAGGTAGGATAGGGAATGAAGATGTTTCTGTTTCTTTGAATGTAAAATACTATTGTTAGCTTTGCCATGTACATTAATCTTTTCTGATTAGTGATGTTTCGACAAGGTAACAGATTGTATTTGTCTCAGAGCTGTTGTGTTTGAATTCTCAATACCCAAAATTACAACACAGAGGTATAGGAGCCTATGTTTAGATCGACATGAAAAGTCCATTGACTAAATTCCACTTTTTATGTGAGGAAGTATGTTAGACTTAAATATTATTATTAGTTGAAGTTTCTGGGTGTTCTAATATGGATTTCTTGATTTCACAGGCCTTTCCCTCTTTGGTGGACCATTTGTTCACTTTTCTTTTAATACAGATTTCACATATTCTTAAAAAATTAAAAAAAAAAAGATTTATCTCTTACCCATGGGCTTATGCATTTGGGATTAATGGTATTTTCAGCTTGTTATTTTTTACATTGAATTGCACAAATGTGTTATCTAACCAGACTTTATTTTTCCCCAACAGTACCAAGGGCCGTCTCATTGTTTTCTGTATTGACCGCATGCAAAATTCAGATAGTGGTTCAGTGACAATTTGTTCAAAGGTTGGGCTATCTTCTCAACGAACTTCACCATTTCAGGAAATTGTTGGATATGCCACAGAGCAAATGTCCAGCAGTAGTCTCTGCAGTAGCCCAGATGATGCTAGCTGTGATGGAGTTAAACTTGAAGAATCTGAAGCATGGTACCTGCGACAAGCTTACTCAACCGCATGGCCAGGAATGGTACTTGCAATTTGTCCATATCTTGGTCGTTACTTCTTGGCATCTGCTGGTAATGCTGTAAGTTGCCCAATCCTATCTATACACTTTAAAGTTTTCATGGTTAATTTGGTGTTCTTACATGGCCATTCCTTACATAAGTATTCTTCTCCTTTCAGTTCTATGTGTGTGGTTTTCCAATTGATAATTCCCTGAGGATAAAAAAGTTCGCTATAGGAAGGACACGTTTTATGATAATGTCATTGACTGCTCATTTTACTAGAATTGCTGTGGGAGATTGCCGTGATGGCGTCCTTTTTTATTCGTATCATGAGGTATGATAAAATAGTAGATTATGTGGCAAGTCTTTATTTATTTATTTTTACGTAAACTTACTGTGAATTTGCCTCTTATAATAGTAAAAGCTACTTTGAAAAAAAAAAAAAAAAATTCTCAAGAGGTTTTTGGCTAGCATCTGTGAGGTTGATTCTGTCTTATGTTGGCACGTTGTTGTATGCTAGCAATCCAAGAAACTGGAGCAAATATACTGTGATCCATCACAGAGGTTAGTTGCTGATTGTATTCTTATGGACGTTGATACAGCTGTTGTTTCAGATCGTAAGGGGAGCATTGCTGTTCTGTCATGTTCAGATCGTCGGGAAGGTAAATTCTAAATTAAGCCTTATCTGGAATTACTGTGCCACTAATTGTATTTTTGTCCTTATATTGTTAGTTTGTGTGCTAGTTTCCTTTCAAAATTGATTTGATTGCTATGTCAAGTCATCTAATTAGCCATTTGCATGTTTGACAAAGTACCACCCTTTTAGGTTGAGAATATTTAATTTTGATCTTAGGAATGAAGAATCCGAGCATCCATGTGAATATTGTTTTACATTTGAGAAAGGTTTCCTGATATTAAAGAATTAATTAGCAGATGCATCATGATAACTTTAATGGTCTGTGGCATGCGTTTTTCTTTAGTGACAACATGGTTACTGATCTTTTTGGAGTCTGGAAAATTTGTAAATCCTACAAAATTTGCATTTGCCATACCATGACAGCCAAATAGACCAACCGATTAATCATGTCTATATGGAGCAAGCTTGGACTCTTCCGCTATATTTGGTACACCAAACTTTACAGTATGAGAGTATCTTAGAGGCCTAAATTATCCAATACATATGTGTGGTTGACATTTTGCACTGTATTAGCTAATACAATTTATTAAGTATTCAATGCATATATTAAGTAAAAAGATGGGTTAAAGATCGTATTATACTATTTTATAAACCTTATATATTATTTTCATCTAAATGAATTATTTAATTCTGATATTGTTATTAATTATATAATTATTGCATAAAATAAATAGTTACTAGTTGGCCATCGGCAATGCTGTTGGAATTAGTGTAGCAGCATCATTTATTGTCAATGGTTATATTATTTGACAGAGTGACATACAAGGAAACCTGTGGAGGTGGCAGTGCATGTCACCACATTGCCGTTTGCAAGCGGCACTAGGGGCAACCCAATATTCAAATGCTATGTGTGTGTAGCTATATAACAATTCAAACATTGGTGACATGAAATTAGTGACAAAGATTGGTTGACTTGGATCACATTGTCTTTGGTGCTATCATTGGATACAATTACCGTTGTTGGACTTTCACCATCAGTAGCAGGCATTATTTTATCTGATTTTTTACTTTAAATTTAAAATTAATTGTTTTAAATGAAATAATTGTTTTAAAAAAATATTTAAATATTGTTTTAATTAATTATTTATTTATTTTAAATACATATTTGTTTAATATATTTATTTGAAAAAAAAAATGTTTAAGTTAATATAACATAAACATACACTAAATACACTATTGTATTTCATAATATTTTATTGTACTATTCATCACAGTCAAATTTGATCAAAATACAATATAGTACAATGCAGCGTACTAAACGTAATTCTTTTTTTATACATCTTAGCTGAAATAGGATTTGAGTAATATTGTATAGCTTGTTTTCCTTTGATTCAGAGGAAGGAAGATTATCATATACAGTATCTTTTTGCTGTTTTATATAGATTTGTTACCGTAGTACTTCTTGATCTCTTTGTGGACATCTGTTCCACTGATGTAACTCACTATCTCTATCTATTAAAGTGTATCAGTTTCTTGTCCCCAAAAAAAAGAAAATGTCTACTTGGTGCTTGCAACTTCATCAATGGTGTTAATTTCATGTGGTTGTTGAATGTTAATATGACCAAGTAGGAAATATTGGTAACTGATGGAAGTCTCTCAAATTGAGTTGTTGTCGAGCATTATGCGTGGTTAAAGCTAAGGATTAGACTAATCTAACTGGTCTCTTCATCCTGTTGTTGCTTATATGCTTTAGATGGAATTATTTGATTTTCTTAAATTATGCTATTTCTTTTTGTTCCAGACAATGCAAGTCCAGAATCCAACTTAACTCTGAGTTGTGGATATCATATGGGTGAGATAGCCATGAGCATCAGGAAGGTAAGTCCTACGTAAGCATTCAGGAACAATAGTAGACCATTTTATCCCTTTTTGTGAATAATATACTACTACTTCATTCCATGCAAATTAATATTATAATCGAAAGGCTATGCTAATAACTAGGATGATATTTTCTGCTTGTTGAGATTCTGGTTTGCACTGAAAATTTGTGTATTCTGTCATTTCCGGTCTTCAGGCCTTATTTGTAGCATGAACTGAGAAAGATATTTTGAGGCATTTTTTATTATTTCTTTTGCTAGTTCAGTAACAATGTTGAATTTTTCATTTTTTGATAGGGGACATTTATACACAAACTGCCAGCTGATGATGCCTTGGGGGAATGTCCTAGTCCCAATACAAATGTTGACTCTTCACACAACACTATTATAGCCAGTACGCTTTTAGGAAGCATAATAATATTCATTCCTTTATCAAGGTATGTTTTCTTGCTTTTTAGTAAATATAGTTCTTAAAGCGCACGCATACACACATAGTATATACTGATAATGAAACAAGTTCTAAACAGTTTGATTAAAATACCTTGAACAGTTGAGATCACATGTAATGCATGGTTAATGCATCTCAGCATTAACAAATATGAGATGTAATCTCATCCATTTAAAGTGCTCTGGGGACATCTTCTGTCCTGTGCTTGTGTATATTAAAGAATATGGATAATAATTATTCATGTGGTATTGGGTTGTCTCTGAGTGATATACCTGATAAACTTGATGTTTTTTCAGGGAAGAATATGAACTCTTAGAAGCGGTACAAGCTAAACTTGTGGTCCATCCATTAACTGCACCTATGCTTGGAAACGACCATAACGAGTTTCGTAGTCGTGAAAATCCGGTAAGAGAATATAACTGAAGGTGCAGATTTGAACACCTGCATGCTTTATTTAATTTGAATTTGACCATTAAGCTCAAAAAAAAATTTTCATTCATTATCTGGAATACTGGTTATATGTCAATCAAGATGAATGCAAATAACTCCCATGATGTCAAAAATACAAAATAGTAATGCATACTTTTTAATAAATATAATTATAATATTATCTCTAATCATCTACTTGTACTCATCAAATGGATGTCCCAACTTTAGGCTTGGTATGGCAAATTCTGGTATGTTACCCTTGGCTTTAGGCTCTTATACTTGTATAGCTGCACTTTTAAGTTAGTTGGTACGTTTTGGATATTGAGAGCTCTTTGGAAAAGGATCTGTGATTCATGATAATGTCATGTTGTCAGTACTGAGAGGTCCTGTGCTACCTGGGGATCCTCCAATATCGACCTAAACTTTGTCGACATGGACCACCCCCTTTGTTTGGGTGCATAACAGTAGCCGTTTTCATAAATAAATATGTCCAATCCAGATTTACCATTATTAACAAACATCGATGTTAAATATGATACGAGATATGAACATATGAACATATGAACATATGAGCATGGAAAATTTAGAAATGCCTTATTCTGCTAAAGCAGCGTGCCATTTTATACAATTCAGTCTTCCCTCTTTGCATATGGTTCTACAAGCAGCCTTTTGATGTACTGATACATGTCTGCTTTTTGTGTTATTATTGATTTGTTTGTGGCTGCAGGTTGGAACACCAAAGATACTAGATGGCGACATGCTAGCGCAATTTTTGGAGCTTACAAGTAAACAACAAGAGGCTGTGTTGTCACTACCTCTCGGCTCTCTAGATACTAAATCTAGTTCAAAACTGTCTCCCTCTTCACCTATCCCTGTTAGTCAGGTTGTGCAACTCCTTGAGCGGGTTCATTACGCCCTGAATTGATTATATCCTGTTCATCTCTCGAATTTCTGGTTCACAAGCTCAGGATATTGAAGCATCTAACTGAGAAAGTATAAGCATATGCATACCAAGCAACGAGGATGGTACATTCACTAGCTGCATTTTGCCTGAACAATGAAATTGCAAACGCTAACCATCCGAATGGCTGCTTCTGGTTAACATACTAACTTGATTGTGAAATCACAACCGTTGGTACACCTCCGAGCTTACAATCATACCATCGGAACCATTGTTATTTGGTCAACCACCTTGTCCCGTCCACGCCGACTACATTAAAATTTCTCATGCAAATACCAGGTAAAGTTACCATATTCCTTCTAATGTAAATAATACCCGTCTTGTATCATATTATAGTATGAAAGATGGAAATATTGTACGTACCGTATCCGAAAGGGCTTTTTTTTTTTTTTCTTTTTTTTTTTTGTTAATTTGGCGGTGGGGGCAAATTAAACCTAGGTCCATAGTTACATTTTTGTGCCCTGAAAAAAAAAAAAAAGATTCCGTTGATGAATTTTGAATCTTTTGGGTTGGTGGTGAATGTTCATTTGTCTTAGTGTTTTCAGGTTTATATCATTTTCCCCTAATGAGATCTACTAGAATGAAACTCATACGTTTTGTTAAAAGAAAGTATTAAATATCTGTATTAGGGTTTTTTGGTAATTTTAAGGGTTTTTTTTGTTAAAGAATAATTATAAGGAGGTTTTTGATACTTTTTTACTAAGTGAATGGATTTCATTCTGATCGATCTTAAGAGGGGAAAATTAAGTAAACCCCCGTGTTCTCCAAAATTCCAAATACATGATGGTAGTTCAGTTGAAGCAAAGCTCTTAAGCAGTTGATGGGTTGCATTTGCATATATGATATGTCATTACTCTAAAAAATAATTCAATCTAAATAAGCATTTGTTTCCTCTTAACATGAAAAACGAAGAAATTCTACGGGTTGAAGTATAGTATTAATCATTGTATATAAACGTAGGTGGAAATGTTCAAATTGAATTAATAAAAATGATTAATGAGACAATAGACATAAATTTTTTTGTAATATTACTCAAAAAGGATTCATTTATATGAAGGGAAAATAAATACGTAATTTGTCGTAAGTATTAGATCGAAATTTCGAGTGCATACGGGAAAATAATTTTTTTCTCTTTCTAATTTAAAATCTATATAATAAATCAACCATAAAATGTGGAACTTTATTGGAGCAGTGATTGTAGAAGTTAGATTGCTGTTTTAGATGCTAGAATATTTGTAGTTAACTCTTAAAGTGTAAACTGAAAAATCACTTAGTTCTTCAGCGCTATAAGTAATAAGATATTAAGATATATAAAGTTTTTAGCTAAAATTAGTGTTAAAAGTGAGCCATTTTGTACCATTACATCACCTAGACGCAACAAATCAACCATATAATTGCACTAGAATAGACAAAAATACTAAAATAGACAACAACAAACCATTCTGCTCATAAAACAGGATAAAAAAAGACCACAAGAAATTCTTCTTTGTCGTCTATAATAATAATAATATCTACACTTGAATTCTCTAAAATACAAAAAGTCCAAAAATCCACTTAACAGAACTGACATAAATCATTTCTACAACTACAAAATTGCAACGTTCTCTTCTCGGCACCTGTGTCAATTGAGTTAGTAATAATTTTCTGGCACCTGTGTCAATTGAGTTAGTAATAATTTTCTGGCACCTGGCACCTCTTCACTGCCATGAAGCAAAACTGTATTATTGTAACTTGATAAAATTCTTTCAACTGTACAGCACAGACAGCTATAACTCGAGGATGGTTGAAAACCGAAGATGAAAACCAGGGAAAAGTAAGAGAAACCCAGAAACTATCAAGCTAGTGTGCTTTCAACGTATTCCATGGCTCTGTGTTTTACATATTCTATTCGTGATTCATCACCAACAGATTTCTCGTACTCCAGATACTTTTTGAATAAGAACTGCAAAACAATGATGTCACCGTATAAGGCACAACTGAAAAAGAAGCTAGAAAGTAGTTCAAGAAATGAAGTTTTGATAATTGTACACACTTTCATTTTTTTGGGTGGGAGACTCAAGCTGGTAGCCCTCTCGAATAGTGAACGAATCAAATCAACATCTCCAAGTCGAATCTCCTGACAAGTTTTGATCCAAGAAAGTAACATATGTTAACTTAAGAAAACAAGCAGATAGAACAGGCAAATGTTCAAAATAACTTACCTGATCAAGGTAAATACTCCACAAGTCTGTTCTCTTTGGGTACTCGCGCAAAATTCCTTCAAACATGGATCGCCCTCTATCTGGGACCCCTGTTTTGAACTCAAGTATAGCAGTTTGCGAGATAAATTTAATATGTTTGTGGCGCGGAAGACTTAGCAAAGCACGTTGTACCACAGACTGAACTCCATCTTTTTGTTGCTTCAAAATCCTCTGCACCCGCCGTAACCAAACCTACAGAGCCATCAAACATGAAAATTATTGGACCGATAAAATGTAAAAATAAATAAATAAACAAACTCATGAATACCTTGCATGAATGCTTGAACTTCTTGGTCATTTTCTCAAGAAGCTCATCAGCCAATTTATGTTGATCAGTCCTTTCGTACATGGCCAAGAGTGCTAGATGGACCTTTTTGGGATCCAAATACTGCAATGCTTTTTGAAATAGTTTTACGACAGCTTCCTGAAAAGAAAATAAATTAATTAAACTCCCGATTCATGTTACAAAACAAAACGAAAATATAAACTATTCACTGTTTTAAGTACCTCTGGAGGATTTCCATATTCATTTTCCAAGTTAAAATAAGCAACCCATATATTTAGCTTCTCGTTCTCTTCTCGGATGTTTATTGTTCTCAAAGCCCTTCAAAAAACAAAGATGAATGGCTAAGTAGAATTTTATTAATCAAATCATCACAGATGCGGCAATATCCAAGTGTAAATTTACAGGAAACTCCAATCTTAAATAACTTTGCAAATAAAAGGGAGCAATAACTAGATTATAATATGGTGTAGCACACACGTCCAAAGACAATACACGTTTATGGTATCAATAAAAGGAATCAAATAGATGCAGCTTTTCAATAGTGGCATGCTCACAAATTTTCTGTCAAAAATCTTTGGTCATAATTTTCCTTAATCATGACACATTTCCAATGAGAAAAATGAAAAGACAAGATTATTAGGGAAATGAGGATGAGCAGATTGACCAGGTTAATACCATTTTCCGTTTTCCTTATCTTCATTAGGAAATTCGAAAAAGATAAAGGAGACAAAACAGCATTGCACCAAACGAATTTGACTTCTGTATGGCACATTCATCCATCAATTGTTTGAATGTTGCAATTGATGGTTTAATGTTTCCTAAAAATCATATATTTGCCATGCCAGAGCAGGCCAGCATATATTGTCCACCAAACATTAATAAAAGGGAATACCTTTCAGCGATAGAGCGGGCTTTCTCGACGTCAGCCAAAGAGAGCATGAAAGCCATGTACTTTATCCAAACAAAACTGCTATTTGGGGAGCTTCTAACCAGTCTCTCAAATTCATCTGGAGTTTTTGGTGCATCCTTCTCTAATAGTCTTTCCTCGGCAGCCCTAATTTCTAGCTCCCTGTCCAAAATAAGTTCTCAAAATTAGTTCAAAAACCCAAATAAATCACCTTTAGATGACAGAGAAAATACCCAAAAACCCAAATACATTACACATTCACAAACAGTGAAAATACCTCTCTTCCTTTGCTTTCTTCTTTGCACGTCGTTTGTTCTTCTCATCCTTGTTATCTGCCTCATCAATGTGCTCTGTGCTCTGACCAACTACATTATCCACGTCAGGCTGTTCTATGTCTTCAAGAGTGACCTCAAGCGGAGGAACAGAAGCCCTAGATTCTGACTGAGAAAGAACCATATCTTCTCCATCTTCAGACTCATCGTCACTATCCTCAGCAGCAGGTAAACTGCCGTCCAACATTGATGAATGGTTGTGAGAACCATTTTCTTCAATATCTTCGTCAGTCTCTTCTTCTGAAAGCATTTGAAGGTCATTATCACCACTAAAATACGAATTCTTCATCCCAAGTGAAATTCGGCGCTTCTCCTCATCCACCTAATATGACAGATTTAATAATACAGGAGAAATTAGTAATAAAAATTCCAGAGAGCGATAACAAGTATTAGAGCCACTAGGTATTCTGACTAAATTTTATGGTAGACATTAAACTAGTTGCTAGACCTCAAAGCAAAAAATGCTGATCATGAGAACTGTCCATTTTCTACTAATTCTAATATGATGTGCATAACTAATTGGAATCGAAACAACACTACATGACAACATGTTTTTTAAACACATGTTTACCTTCAATATCTTAACCATAACTTTCTCCCCAGCTCTGTATTTAGTGTCAATATTTTCAACGCGATCATCTGAAATCTCTGACACATGGCATAATCCAACCTGAGTAATCAACAGAAAGACATACACTCAAATTGATAATACATACAAATCAAGTAAGATCAAATAAAATTACATGTTTGAATATCATGAGAACTAAAAACTGTGCATTGTAATGTATTCCTTACCAAGGTTGTTCTGTCAATTATGATAAATAAACCATATGACTCCACCCGCTTAATCCTCCCTGAAACTATATCTCCAACATGCAGACTACTTAAATCATTCATTTCTGATTTTGAAGCATTGCTGGAATTCAATGTTTTCAAGGTAACTTCAACCCGCTTCGACAAAGGCTCCACAGATAACACCCTGTACTTAAGCTTCTTATTACACCACACAGAATATTGACTAACCATCGACCAGCAGGAACATAAAGAAAAAAACCAAAACCTACCTGCCAACCACAAGTTTTCCAACAGGAAATTCTTTTTCAGGACTTTCAACAAATCCATCCGACAAATTTGAGAGGAGAATTTTGGCATCAAGCTTCCGTGATAGCAATATAAAACATCCTTTCGATGTAACATGCTTAACATAACCCTGTGAACCCAATAAACATGTATTAGCACCAGTAATCAAGGGAACATGATTAATTAATATGTGAGAAGATACCACAATAAACAAGCTGTCCATGATAGTGAACATGAATCTAAGATCAAAATCATCCTGGAATTCTAAATCCAACAGACATTCAAACTCCAAAAATAAAAAAAGCCCCAAACAACAAAATGATTTTTGTTCACATTCCAATCAATTGCAAGAACTTGAAATTGTGATATAGTCCTTTGTTAAGGCAAATATTAATTAGTAAATCACCCACATAAAACAACAGAAACTATAACTTATTCTTAATGCAACCATTCTTTAAAAAAAATGATATGTGAAGGCATAGCAATCTATCATCTGCTATTAGTTGGTGATCACAAGATTATAACTATCAGAATATTATATACAGTGAAAAAGAGTACAATGTACTTCTGGCCCATCTCAATATCTTGTACCTTCTTCTGATGGAAATAAATTAGTTCTTGTTTAAAGAGACAGAAAAAATATTAAAAATAATAATAATAATAAAAGCTCAATGTTATACCTGTACAGCCATATTAGGGGATAGATCCTCAATCTTTTCCAAACGATTGCCAGGAGTATCTCTGCAAATGGAAACCACAAAATAACTCTATACTTAAACAAACAAGAAGTATGTAGTGAATGGACCACAGAAATAGCAATAATGAACCGTAAAACAGAAGTAACATATGAAAGTTATACCATCAATAAAATGACCATCTAGATAAATTATTAATAAAGAAAAAATTATTTCATGTGGTAATTTCTAAGGCTTGCCGCTGTATAAACAGGATCGCCAGAAACATATACTTCTATGAACAAAGTTTAAAAAAGGTATCTAATTTTATCAAACTAGAAGAAGCTGGACTTACACATCAATGGAGAGATCGGAAGAACTTCGACCGCGCATGCCATCTAATGATAAACGTAACGAAAGATCAACATGAATGGTTCCCTTAATAGAACGACTGATTTCTAAGACCTTGCACTTGACAAATTGACCTTCATGATATCCAGACAATGGATCATGAACCCATGAATCCTTGAGTTCCACAAAATGAACCCTACCAAACATATGAGGACCAATTTGCACAACCAATCCACCAACACCTGGAAGTATTTTGGAAATCCTGCCACCAACAATATCTCCTTCATTTATATGAGCTGCAGTATTATCATCTGAAATTTTATTATCATCCATCTTATTGCTTCCTTGATGACCAAAAGGCAGCCTCACCAAGCGCAACAACTTCTTCTCCCTATTGATACTCAAAACATGACCAGTAACAGCTTTTCCCACATGTAAGAATTTCTGGAATTCTTGAAGTTCACTAGGTTCACAGGCACTGTCAAGGATAAAAAGCTGAGCCTTCACTTCTCGAGATACTGTTAACCAAGCCCATTCACTGTCCACTTTATACACATAACCGGTGACACATTGCCCAGTAGAAAAATCAAATTCTTCACTCAAAAGCTTGCTCTCTAATTCAGAGGAACCTGCAAAAGCATTGCAAAAGTAATATAGCTTTAATAACACACCAAAAACATACAAAACTTGTAAAATTAATCATACAGGTATTCTTCAAAGCTCACTTGATTGAAAATAAGCAAAACAAAGTAGAGATCTATACAGTTAACAGTACAAAAATGGATAATAGGAACTTGCATATTAACAAGTTTAAACTATTTAATATGAGAATTTATACCAAGATGCTACAGCAATCAAATCATACATGTGGGAGCACTAACACAGTATTAGCCAGAAAAGATAAAACTCGAGGGTAAATATTTAACGAGAAATGAAGTCAGTAGCAGAGTCAAGAAGGTCTGAGTCAAGAAGCAGAAAGACCGAGATAGAAAATACTATAGTTCACAAGGAAAAAAATAAAGACAGCATAACTGGGGCAGCTTTATGACACTTTCCCAAAAGTTTAAGTATAGTAACTTGAAAAGATCACATATTTAGTAAAATACTTATTCAAATTACGAAGAAAACTTCACGCACTTCCATTTCTTCTGATTCTGATCTTTAGTTTCAGTGAAGTGATAAAACACAACTGAACATTAGAGAAAAGATATTTTACACCGAACACACCGGTACAAAATATTTATGGTCAATAGTACCTGATAAAGACAAAATGGAAATAATGATTAAACCTTGATTCCAACCACAAACATTTGAGATAGCATGATTTGTGCTATATAAGTCTCTTATATTTTGCAGTATAATATTCTACCTGTTACTAGTGTGGGTTTGATGGACAGCTCCCAATGGTGGCTTTTCTTATTATCTGGTTGATTAGACTTGGCTACAATCCTTGCAGTCACTGTTTGCCCAACTCTAAAGTTGCTGAATGGATTTTCTGGAATATTATTCTTATCATCGTTCACCTGCTCATTTGATAAGTTAAAAAGTAATAAAAGAACAATTATGTTAGTCAATAACATAACTAACAAAATAAGTAAAAAGTGGATGGTGTACAATAGCTAATTATTAAATGCCTAAATAACATCATATTCCAAGAAATCACCTCTGTTATGTGAACCCTCCCATGGAAACCAATTCCAAATTTCAGTCTCAGTTCCAGAGGCTTAATTTCAGTAATCTGAAAATCAAAACATGAAAAAGAGAATACATATAAGCATCCTTTCTCAGTTCCAAACAGAATATTCTGATTCTTATTTTTAAAAAAATATATTAAAAATCAAAGTACTCTAAGCAAACAAGCCATGCCTAGCAAAAGAAAATTAAAGCTCTTCCTACACAGTAACACAAAATATTAGGAGAGAAGAGCTCATAAAATATTTCAAACTTATCTACCTCTGCCTGAACCAAAGATCCAATGCTGTATGCAGATTTTTTTTTGGACCTCTTGGAACTGGAAGTCTCACTGACTTCACTAACAGATTTAAGAAGCAAAAGCAACCTCCCAGCAGTTGAAGGACTTGGAAGGGCCATAATGGTAGCAATTACACTGCACAAAGTATCCACAATTAGAAGAAAGAAAAAAGCAATAATATCCAAAAACTTAAAAGGAAACAAATGATAGTTGTCACAGAAACTCCCCAGGGCCAAAGGTAAAAGCCCAAAGTATTCAGAAGTTGTGTGCATTTATAATGTCAGGTTCCCTTTTTTCCACAAAATCAGAGAAACATGATGCAAGTGAGAACACGAGAAGAGGGAACAATAAACATCATACCATTAACCTCAAAAAATTTAAAAGAGAGTCTTGTTAATTTAGTGGCCATGCTTACAGACAGGAAAAGAAGAATACAGCAGAAAGCATTGATCATTGAAATGAATGTTCACCTTTGTCCATTTACAAATTGTTTCAGTGGAAAATTTTGTATGTTGTAGTCTGATAAAGATGCATATCCTATAGCATAATCATACTCTGGCAACAAAAGAACCTGGTTTCAGAAGAAACAACTCTGAGAACATGTACAAATGTATTGGAGCATCATCAGACAACACAACAATATCAAATACTTGCCAAGTAATTCTCTTTCACAATCTCCACAACTGCATTTACTGTCTGATGCACCTCCAAGTCCTTGGATGCTTTTCTTTTGCGTTTCTGAAAATCAAGCATGGTAAATATTAGGACCCAGAGACAAAAATAAATAAATAAATAAAATGACAGAAATTCTTCATATGAGAAGAAATGAATGCCCACACAACACCAATAAAAGGTCAACCTAAAGAGGACAACTGTCATGCAGGAGATAATTATTCTCATTTAATTTTCATCTACCAAGGTTACAGCTTATTTGTAATGAAGGGATGCATATAATTAAAGATATGACATGAGAGAAGCTGGAAGCACAGTTATACCTTCTTGTGAGTCTGGCTGCTTGAACTTTGTTCTCTGGCTCTGTCAATGAACTCTGTTTTCAGAGATAAATCAACAAGGCGTTCTGTCTTGGCAACATCAAGAACCGCAGCTAGAATGACAGAGCCTTCTTCCACGATAGCTCCACCTACTGCAAATATATACTCCACCATAGTTATTGGATTGCAGATCACAAAATTTCAACAGATAAAGTTCATCAAAATAACTTACACTGATAATGAGTAATAAAGCCAAAAACATCACTGTGTTTTTCAAAACTGACAACCACTCCAACATCCTTTGCCTCCTGAATTTTGCCTTCAATGACACTGCCAATGGTAAATCCTTCCACCCACTTTAACTCTGATCCTTTGGGGTCTGATGATTGCAACATTGCAACCTGTAGCAAAGAAGAACATTCAAGAAAATGTAAAATCAAGATATAAAGCAGGATTCAAAAGTGATCTATATCATTCTAATGCAAGAAGAATAAAAGAAATAAGAAACTAAATAATCACTCAATATAAAATACAATAAAGAAAGAAAATCTTTATCATGTTTAAGGAGCTTTTGTTGAGAAGTTGTTCAGACTTGATTATTGTCTCCTATATAATGGACTTCTCCTTGGTATAGTAATTTTAAGCATCTTATCAAAAAAAAGAAAAGAAAATAATGAAAAAACCAATAGCAGATCATCACAAGAGGCAAATTACTATGGTGCCCATAATTTCACCTTCTCTTCCAATACGAAGTATTCTTGAATGAAGGATGCATCTGTTGAGGAACAGCATGACTGCTTCAAAGACAGTGTAATTCTACCTGTATCATTATTGACCTATAAAAAGGAAAAAAGAAGAAAGGATTGAATTTGATCCGAAATACAATTTCAAAGGTCAGAAATTATGATGAAATTTAGCTTCAAGAAGTTCACCAACATCAACTATATTGCTGCGAACAGATTGCCCAACATAAAAAGCTTTCGAAAGATCAGCTCTCTGGTCGTCCATTGCCTTAAAAATAGGGGGAAAAAAGATGAAAAATTACTAAAGCAACCAACTGAAACAACATTTAGAACCAATTAAAAAAAAAAAAAAAAAAAAAACCTAAAAAGCAAAATCTACCTTGCTTCTAGGAGCAAAGCCAGTCAGGCGCCCAAGATAGCGGACAAAGCAACCAGTTTCAATTAAGTTGCAAATGTACCCCTGGTTCACATAAATAAATTTGCAAATGTGAGGTAAAAGCAGTAGATCATGACTGCATCGTAATACAGAGATAATTTTTTGTGAAAAACAAGATTAACACCTAATTAAATAAGTAGGAACCCTTAACTACTTACATGGACAACCGTGTGGGGATGGATATGACTGACATCGGAAGGAAGCTGTTGGCCAGAGTTGATTAGAGAATATTTCGCAGAGAGTAACAAGCTGTTGCCCTCAATATCTACAACAGAGGTAAAAGAACATTTCCAATGCTTTATATTAGTGGTCTAAAGCCTTATCTGATAACAAGAGAATTTTCTTTGTTTCCCAGCCACAAAGAAAATTTGTATTAATGTAATTGAAACCGGTCCTGCTTCACCTAAAGAACATTTTATCATTCTTTATAGTCTCTCTTTTCCTTGAACATGGTTTTGCTTTTTCCATGGACAGAAACAGAGGGTGCTTAGGCGGACAGAATAAAGAAACCAGAAGGAAAAAAAATAATAATATTACCTAGGACCAGCAGCTGATCAAACTCATACCCAGGCTTTATGACTGACTTCATCAAAGTAGCATGCCCTGGGTCAACAGAAACTATAAGTCAGAAAAAACCATAAGAAAGCAGCTGAACTGGAAAATTCTTTATGAAGGCAAAGTAAATGTATACCATGGTGGTCTGCCAAATGTTCAGTAGAAATTGTACCCTTCGAGTAACCTTTAGCATTAACATACACGATTACTGCATTGGGGGTTACTACATCAACCACTCCAGAAACTATGCTACCCAACTTGACCAAATCATCTTCAGAAACCCTGCATTCCAAATTTAAATTTAAAATGAGAATAGTAATTGATGAAAGATACCCTTACAAGGCACAGAAAAGTTATACAAGAAACCTTGTACACTAGACATCTCTACAACAAAACATCAACTGAGAGAACTGAGCTACAGCTATTGCAACATGCCTCTTTTTCCACTTATTCAGTAACAGATAAGTAATTACAGCAGTTCCTACTGTCAAAATGGTTAAGAGTTTTTAAAACAACAGTAACAGCAGTAAATCAGTTACCTTCCTCTAGTCTTGCAATATGACTCAGAAAGTGATAGACAGAACCAAAATTAGCAGATCATATGATATATGCATGAAGCATTGACAAAAAATTGTGTTGCTTACCCAACCAAAATACAAAGAAGTGCCACATTAAAGTCCGCATAAGAGAGATACACATGGATCAACTAAACAAAATCAGGAAGATTGTAGTGAAGCAAACCTTATAGGCTTCATTAAGAAACTAAGGTTGATGCGTCGTGAAGCAGGAATAGAACTCGCTACTCTGCATTTGACAACTTGTCCAACATGATACATAGAACTTGGTTCACACCCAGGATCTAATCCAAGCTCAGATCTGTTTTACAATGAACAACAATCAATCAATAAGCAATGATGATAAACCCAAAAAACCAGAATAATATGAAATGAAAAACAAAAGTCTTCTTGAGACATGGTCGCTAGATCTAGTTACATATCAACCTATCATAACAGAAAACTAAAGGCAATAATTTTTAATAGCTAACATCTTTCATCCCAGCTATTGTACAATCAGAAGCTTGATCAACTAATCCTCCAAAGAACAGCAGGATACGCAAGCAACCATGGAAAAGAAAGCTCAAAGTCTAATTTTATTTGTAAATCACTACATAAAGACGATAATCTTATTTTGCCTAAAAAGAGTGTAGCTGATATCTTCTTTATCGTAATATGGGCAATTAAAACATTGTGCCCTAACCTGCAAAGAGTAACAGGATACATGTACAGCCATGAAAAATGAGGCTTTCAGCCTATTTCTAAAATTCGGTAGAAATAGTACCTTTTTAGATATAGTGCCTTTTCTAACCCTAATTTGATGAAATTAACCTCTATTCTGGCCTTGTTAAACAAAAGATTGTTTCCTTAAAAAAATAACCTTTATTCTAGTTTCATTAAACAAAAATTTATATCATCAGCAAAGAACATGCATCACAATAAGCTAATGCATAATTCTATAAACTCATTCTAATGAAACACTAGAAAATACTTGAACAAGCAAAACTTAAACTAGATGCCAAGAGTAAAATCCAAAAATTTTTAGACTAGCCTAGAAGCAAAGCCTTGGACTCCATTGTAAAACCGGACAAAGCAACCGTGCTTCTCAATCTTCGTTATCCATCCATGCGTTATCAATCCATCAGTCGCATCAGCATATGAACTTACAATTCCAAGCTTCGATTTCACCTGAAAAGTGTTATCAACAATGTTGCATCAGAATAGATAGACAATTGAAGAACAGCACACATCTATAGATTTTTTGCAACTAAAAGTTTGATTCTGATAATGAATATGTGGATTTTTACTACTAAGGAATACTTAGAATAAAGTTGATAAAGTCATAGGAAGTTTTAGTTTTACCAAAAAAACTTTGACATCAAGAAGATTAGCAAATCAAAGTAATTTTTTCAAACTGAAACTCAGGGCAATATTACAAAATGTGCAAAAAGAAAACTTATGCACTAGGGATACAAAAAATAAGATTACAGATACATATATGCAAAGTGGAAAAAGTTAAATACCTATCGTAACTCTTCGATGAGCAATAACTTGACAAATTTATTCAGAATTCATTTAAACTAGGTACAGAAAAGTTTTGTAAGTCATATGGCACTCATCCAAACAAAACTATGCCACTGAAGGAAACAGCAACCCGAAAAAAACATACCAGTGTTTTCTTATGCGTAACTGTAATCCTCTTTGATTTAACACCAAGCACGCGGAACACCAATTCAGCCCCAACCTGCACAATGAGCAAGAAAAATAAGGGCAAAGGTTTTAATTTATTAGCAATTACTAATCGAAAGAATGAATCCCAAAAGGAACCATTGTTACAAAATCACTTCAAACATACACATAGAAAAGAATAGGTTGCCATTTGCTAGGAAATAACCTTAAATTTTTTTCCAGGCTTCACAATTTCAAATTCTGACATATGTCGAAGCGGACAAAGTGCCTTCACACCTCCAGGAAATTGCACAATAGCACCAAAACTATCAACATGTATCACTTTAGCCCTCACCACCATCCCTGGCATGACATCCGAGTGGGTAAACACTGACCCTTCAAAAGCACTGGCCTACATGATTAAAAGACAGTAAGAAAACTAAACCATCTTAAGAACTAGAGTCAAAAAACAGTCGGATAACAAGAATAAAGCCTCATTAGGAGCAGTATCCAATCTATACAGCATACAAATAGAAGAAGAGAAACCACTAAATAATCCTAGAAATACTCGATGAAGATGCCAATCGACAAACAACTGTCATATTACTTCACTGCTAAAGATGGAGATTAAGAAGTAGAGCAAAGATCTACCGAAGTGACATACAATAATCAAGGCCTAGGAAAACTGAAAGTACGATATAAGTCATAATGTACAACTGAATATGTTTTTCACTTGCTTCTTTAAACTACATCTGCTGGTGTGTTTCTTAACAAAAATAAATAAATAAGATGCATAAATATTGCCGCCCATGAAAAACTTTTAATTTGATTATGATATTACATGCAACACAAAGTGACAGTATCTTCTTCATTGGAAGATAAACGCATGCTCTCCAGGGTTGAACCCAAGCCTCACTCTCTACCTCATTTTTAATTTGTAAAATAGGTTATTATATTAGCACTAAGGGACAAGGAAAAAAAAAACCTACAAAATAACAACATTGATAATCGACTACTTACATTTTACTTATAAGCAAATGCTCGTATAATGTCTATATTCTATAGAGTTACTATTTTCAAATTAGAGATGCATTTCCTAGTCAAGAGTGTCCTATAAAAGTGAAATGGCAACCTTCAGAATCCCAGTTGCAAGCCCCTCCAAGTGCCTAAACCCAAGAATTCGAACACGAACACGGGTTCCTTCCTTGTACTTTTTTTCCAGTTTCTTCACTTCCTCTTCAGCAACATCAGATATCTGCAGTGAAATGCACAAAAAAGTTACTACCAACCCAGCAGAAACCTCACTGATTTAAATGATGCTTAACTATAACTAACCACAGATCAAACATACACTGACATATGCCGGAATTGATGCTGGAGTGGTAGGGATGTCAAGAAGCAGACCCAGCCCTCTATCAACCCTAACCACTTTTGACTGATCATAAATATCTCCAATTTTAACATGCTGCACATCAAGCCAGAAAATTAGAGTGTGCATAAGAATACTCAATTCACCAAATAAAAAGGTTTCCAATGGAACCACAAAAATAGTCATAAGAAAATGAAACGGAAAGGCTTCAACCTGCACTAAGATTGTTAAACAGATAAAAGTCTTATCTGGATGTAGCTGGGTCATCACAAAACACATACCATTATAATAATTAGTCGAAGAAGTTCCAGCACTAATGTCTACTACTTAGTAAATTAGAGTATTCCATGGGTTGACCTAATTCCTTTTTTCCAACCTAGGCCATATTGATTAGGTACTGGGAGATGAGACAAACCAGATTGCACTAATTCTATTTGAAAGCTCAAGTAACATCAATGGGCGAGAATGATATTTTATAAAGTTGCATAGCAAACTTACTGAAGGAGGAGCTTTGTTGTGAAGAAGATATGGATTCAGGGTCAAACCAATAGCTCTACTAGAGGGATCAACGAATAATATCCGAGCATTAACCTGAACATATCAGATACACATTAATGAATTAAATTTAAAGAAATTAAAATTAGGTGATAGAAAACATGGCAGACAAAACACCTGGCATAAATAATGTTTATAAAAACATGGCAAATAAAGCTTTACAATCATCAAAACCTAGAAAGCAATGCTGCAAAGAACCAACTAAACAATATGATTGCTACAACAATTACCTTCTTATTTTGACTGTAGTCATTCCTCCAGTTTGTAGTAGGGAATGTATTTTGTAAATGAAATATGTCAACCTGTTTAGTTAAAAGGAAAATACATATGCAGAGATAAGAAGAGAAAATAGAGAAAGATATTCGCAGGCAGTAGAGTCATGACTTGAACTTTATACTATTGACAAATTTAAAATAAAACTAAACCAAGAGAGCAGAATATATGAAAATTAAATCCATAACCAGTGGAGTGGAAACTCAATTTATCAATTAACATGACAAGCTAACATGACTAGAACACAGCCAAAAAAAGGGATAGAGAGAAACCCTTACAGTTCCAGTGAAGTATGTGAGGAACGATAACATTATTCCATTTTCAAGGATTGACTGTACACGAGCACTGACCATCATGCCTGGAATCAGAAGATCAATTGAAATTCCTTTAAGATCTTTGGTCTGTATAAGAGTACAATGGAAGAATGTTAAATTAAGGAATATAGTGGAAGACAATAAAGGCAACCAGATAAAAAAGCAATGAAATGGCAGGAACATACTACGCATTTAGACACTGTATCTGGGTCAGAACTCAGGTAAACCACTTTACGAGTTCTATCAATGCTTCTAACAACACCTTGTAAAAGTTGCCCAGGCTTCACTTCAATCCCCCTGCTTTCTGTAGAGACCAAGAAGAAATAAAGAAAATAAAAAATGAGTAAGATCAATATATTTAAAACCAAAATATGAGATATATAGATACACATATATGGTTGATGTAAAACAGGTTAACACTGAAGTCAAAACAAAAAAGAAGAAACAAAGAATACTATCTAAAAACAAACAGTAGTACGATCTAAATCGTGTTTTCAAGAACATAAATGCACTTTAGAATCACGTAAAAGTATATAACCAGGGAGCTGCAGCCTAAGAGTGAAGTTCAAAAAACAAAAATAGTAAAGAAAAAACTATCCAGACATTGCAAACCACAGAATAATCTAAATTGTACTTTTCAAGAACGGAAAAGCATTTTAAAGCCTTGCAAACAGTCAATGATCCACAAAACAACCAACAAAAAGAAAGAAGAAAGAAATTTGTCTTAAGGACTTTTAGCCTTTTCTTTTTACATACAAAAGCGTAGACACAATATTACAGTGATCAAACCATCTAAATGACCAAGAAGTTAGTGAATATGTACCAGCTTGGCTTTTTTTTGGCAAAAACCCAGTAAAAGAAGGCAATCCAAAATGAAGAATATAACCATGATCCTCAATGCTCTTCACATATGCAGTAAGGACCTGTAATAGAACAGAGTTAGAAAAAAAAATTACGGATAAAGAATTCTACACGAAATTGTGAATGTAATCGATAATCAAATGAATTGTAAACACAAAGAGAGATGGGAGACCATAGGAGAACAAATACATTATCCAAATCCATAAAAAAAATTAAAAAAAAAAAAAAAAAAAAAATTATGAAAGACTATGGACCAATTTATCTCCACAGCATGTGATGACATAATGTCCTTCATAAAACAACTCCATGCTTATCAACACCATAAGTTCATTCTCTGTAAGATATGTAACTGATACTAAATGCATTATTCACAGGATATATCGCAACCGTATTGCTAAATCAATCACTATATATAGTTTACTACACCAATTTGCAACTGGAGAGAACTATACTTTGACAAATGCTAACAAGCACAATACATTCTGAACTCCTTGTAGCCCAATATCTAAATACAACTTAAGCAATTTGCTAACCGATAAAGTGGTCTTGGGTAGAACTCACTCCCAAAAGCTAGCTCAAGGGAGGAGGGAGCCCAATCACTTATATACACCATAACGGCCCACTATTGGGGCGATATGGGACAAATTCAACTTCTAACACGCTCCCTCACGCTCGGCGTGCAAGGCCGGGGTCCAAACCCATCATCGCCCCAACAAAAGAGGGGAGAGAAACAAACATGGCTCTGATACCATGATAAAGTGGACTTGGGTAGAACTCACTCCCAAAAGCTAGCTCAAGAGAGGAGGGAGCTCAATCACTTATATACACCATAACAGCCCACTATTTGGGCGATGTGGGACAAATTCAACTTCTAACACTAACCAAGTAAGTCAAAAGAGTAAGGGCAAGTTTTTTGAAGCAATAAGCTCAGGTCTGGAAGTTACATCACAAACAAAGACATATATGTATGAATTCCCATGAAGTTTCAAATTCTACTTGAAGTAATAATCCATATGGCAGAGATATCAAGTTTAAACAGCTAACCTACTTCTGCAGAATTATACCAAGATCGTTATAGTAGTTCCTTTTTAGGGTCCAAATATGGTTATTGCACACTTAAAACACTTCTTTCACGAAAGCAAAATGAGCAGCACACTAGTTGTAAACTGCCTAGGTCATGCAAGCTACAAGACTTGTCTGGTGGAACTTTTGTGGACTCTGGGCTTCCGGACCAGTTTAGGTAGTATTTTTTATTTCAATACAATCTCAGCCTCACACACACACACACACACACACACAGAGTCTTGTGGCAAAACCGGTCAACCAATTTGATCAGCCCAGTAGCAAAATGATGACAAACATGGTGCAAACCAAAGTATAATTAAGGTATTTATACTGAGTCAGCACAAAGGAAAATGCACCAGACAAGAATTTGGTGTCTCTTTCTGGAGTTTTAGAGATGCAATCTACAGGCCAACAACCCACCACATAATCAAACACCGAAAGACTGTCAAAATAGTTAGTAGATAAACATGCTTTATTCCTAGTTTTCTCCTCCAATTAAGTTCAATTCATGTATGAAGAAAAGCCTATGCAATTCAACTATTATGTTAAAAATTCAACACATGAGAATAAATAAAGAAAACTTCAAGTTTATTATCATAGGAAAGAAAATTACCAAATTAGATCTTTTAACAATCAGAGTTACATACCATTCCTTCTTGAACAGCATCCAAGGTAAAGCCTTTGTGCAACAAAGAAAGGCGCAAAGAAAGCCAGATCTTTCTTTTCCCATTCTCTTTCTTGTCATCATCCAACTGCAAAACAGTGCAAGAAACCAGCTGCCCAACATGGAATATAGTTGGAAGGAGATTACCTTCACTATCCTGGTAAATAGAAAAAAAAATATATTGAGGTTTCGCAGTTGCAAAAGAAAGATAGTAATAAATTAATAACCTACAGCACATAAGCACCTCAACTTCAGTATCTAAAACAGGATCGAGCGCATCAGTGGCACGAGCTAATCCACGTAAGCCCCCTGGAAGACTTATTACAAGGTCTTTCTCATTCACTTCAGCAACAACTCCCCAAAGCCTCATTCCAGGTGAAATATTCTGGTCATTCACAGAGGAATAATAAGTCTTAACATATTATGAAGTTCACCACTCTGAATAAAAGTAAATTGAAAATTCCACCTGAAGTAATCAAACTAATCAGTCTGGGTTGGGAAAGAAAAACTACACATGACGACGCAGAGGACAAAATCTTTCCAATTAACAAGACCGTATTTATATTTCTTTGGTATAGGAAATAATTGTAATATTGACAGCATGAGAAGAAAAAGAAAACAATATATGAAATTCAACACAAAATTGGCTCCTTAAGATTATATGCATCCAATTTCAGAAATGTATGAGCAATGCATGGAAGAAAATCAAATCTTTAAGACCATTTAAACAGCATGCACTCAACAAAAGCAGCAATAAAAACATTCCACTTCAGAGTCTACCAACATCGTACAACAATCAATTTTAAGAGGTATATAACATATGCAATCTACATTCTGCCCATTTTTTCTTTTTAAAGTTTTCATCACCAAAATTATGTCTACTAATCAATAATCTAGTCCATAGCTTTCACATCAGACAAATTATAAAATTCTACAAAGGGAGCTCTTACCTTCCAAGTAATCTTATTGGCATATCTAGGCAGTTTGCCAGTAATACCATCGCCAAAAAGTGAACCCAAATCATCAACAGCTTCATTACTCTTCCTCTGCAACTTCTTCTTCTTCTTCTTCTTATTTAAGCCCCTCTCCTCCGCCTCAAGTTCCGCATCAACTTCAGCATAGATTTCGTCCCGCTCTCTTTGACTCAAAGTACTTCCCCCACCTGTTCACACACAACAATAATTCAAACTAACTAACTAAACAAATGAAAAAAAAAAAAAAAAAAAACCCTAACCTCGAGGAAAGACGGGAACATCGTCGTCCGCAAGCTGCAAAGCAGCGGCGTCACTCGACTCTTTCTTCGCGGCTTTGAACGGCTTCTTGGACGCTTTGTTAAGCTTTGGTCCGTCTTTCGACTTCCTCTTCTGCGATTTTTTAGAAGTCGCCGCCATTGTGTTAATTTGAAAACCCTAGCGTAATTATTTGGTAGATTTTGTAAAGCTTCAGAGTTCAGAGAGATTCAAAATTAGAGTTGTTGTTTCGTGACGACTGCCAAGAGCTCACAGCGAGCTTGTTGTCGTCTCGTGTTGACACTGAACAGAGGTTAGGGTTTAAGGGTTTTAGAGGAAATCTTGGGAGAAATCATTTTCGTCCCCGTATTTTGAACCTTTTCATTGCGACACTCATTTGAAATACTAACGTTTTGTTCCTTTGACTCAAAAAACCGTTTGTGAACAATTAATTGACTTGGATGTTCCAGGGATAAAATTGTAATTTTGCAATATTTTAAATAGGAAATTGATGGAAGGATTGTATTTGCTAATTTCTAACATATCAAGCGTGGTCTCCGAATAATATACCTTAAGTCAGAATGGAACTTTTTGAAAACTTAGGGGTGGTTATTGTTATTATTATTAATCAACTTAGAAATTATACTGAAATGACGAAAATATCCTTCTTAGCAATGATAAAAAATGCATTACGAAAACAATATTTCCATTACTTGAATGGAAATGGTTTGAATTTGCGTAAGTTTTTTTGTATAATTTATTTAGTCTAAAATTTTCGCCTACTTAAAGGACAGATGTTGTAAAAAAATTCAAAATAACCCCTAAATTTAACCGACATCATTATGAAAGTAAATTAAACAATTGAAGGTTATTTTGGTCATTGTAACATATGAAATGCTAAAAAATCAATTTTCGAATTAGCACTAATTATTAGCTCATTAACTGCAATTTAATTGACTTGAGAAGGAAGTTGAAACAAGTTATTTTTAATAATTATAAATTAAATCATTATATATTTAATCAAAGTTAGCATTGCCTTCTCCATTTTAATATTATCTAATAATATTATCATTTCTTTAATTAATAATATAGTTTGTGTGGATAAAAATTAATTTTACAAGCCATATACACAATTCCGACATTTGTTATATATATATTCTCGTTTGCTCTTATGTATGATCCAAGTAAAACTCTGTCTTACTATATAAAAAATAAAAATACTAATGTGGCGTTTATTTACGTTTTTGTTTTCAAAAATAAAATTGAGAATGAAAACAATAAGTTTGATTTTATATTTTCAAATTTTGAAAATGCATTCCTCATCATTTTCTAAAAGTAGTATTTGAAAATGAAAATAGTAAACATATGTTTGTTAATATTTTCTTATGATACAAATGGAACATTGTAGTAAATTAATAGAGAAAACAACTTTTTTTATGTTTTACGTGTTTTCAATTTTTTTAGGGTGCGTTTGGCTTATTATTTCTGCTCATATTCCCAATCCTATTCTCCAAATAATGTTTGACACATTATTCCAGAAATATTAGCCTACTTTTTAATTACTTTTAGACCCCATAAGATTATTAATTTTATTAAATACCCCCTGAAAAAAAGTTTAAAAAGTAACAAAAATACCCCCATGATCCATACTTGTTAGATTCCGGCAACCACCGTCGGTGGTAGCCGGAATCTGCCACAACGATGAATTACTGACTAGAACTGGCTGGTAATTCACCGATCTGGCCTTTTCCAGCCAGATCCACAGCCACAGTGGATCTGGCCGGAAAAGGACAGATCTACGGCCATATGTGGCGGTCGACAGCCAAAGATATGGCCTTTTCCGACTAGATCCGTGGTGGATCTAGTCGGAAAAGGCCATAGTGACGCCATACCGACCAGATCCGGCTGGTATGTGTCGTTATGCAATTTTTCGGCCAGATTCCGGCGGTGGTGGCCGGAATCTGACAATGCAGGTGGTGGGGGTCTTTTTGTCATTTTACATATTTTTATATATTGGGGTATTTATTAAATTAGCAAACTTATGAGGTTTTTTTATAAATTTTTAAATATTACCTCGTAATACTCTCATATTCAATTATCCCCAAAATCTTATCCAAAATAATAAACCAAACGCACCCTTAGTTATTTAATAAATTTTATGTTTTCCATGTTTTCTACTCTAGAAAACAGATATGATAAGTGAACAAGTATTACCTATTATAAAATAGAAAATGAGAATAAAAAAAATGAAAATGAAAATAAAAACGAACAAATCCTTTATTTTAAATATATATACAATTAGTAACTAATCTCTGGTCTCAGGATTCTCAATTTTAATCATGTTAATTAAAGATTAGCAATAAGTTGTTAGTTTCACAAAAGAAAAAAATTAAAGCTAGAGACAAGTGGATAACCTTTAATCCGTACATTAAAAACTTAAACCAAGTTTCGCCCTTCTCTTCAATATTCTGACACCAATGAACAACTCACATAGCTGTCTTCTCATCTTCCAGTTTTGATTTCTTAGATGAACGATACAATAAGAGTTGTCTCAACAAAAAATAGAAGTCTAAGGCAAAAACTAATAATTTCTCACATTCTGGCCACCATAGTTTCTAAAATTTACACTCTTGTCCCCATAATGTATGTTCATAATTCCTCACTAACAACATTTTGGCCGCCCTAGAATAAATTTTTGGACTCCACCCTTGGTTAAATGCGTTAGACTATCAGAATCTTCAGTAGAAAATCCAGGAGCATCTACACCAATTCCTCACTCCATCCATCCTGTTACTAATTCAAAATGATCCAGCGGTTAGCATAACTTTCTCCTACAAATGTGTATTTGATTGTTTCCTTGTTTTGCTCATATTTGTTTCCTTATTATATGCTTGACAGTTCAATTGTACAGTTATAAATATAATGGAAAACTGCACGGCTTAAGTGTGTTAGCCAAGCCAAAGATATCTCGTGTGTTCATCTTTTTGTTGAATTGTTAAGATCTTACATGGTATCAGCCTAACATCCTATAAGCACACGCTTTTCAAAATGATCCTTTCTCTAGCTTCCGCATCATCCAAATGGCCAACAACAACGACACCTCCATCCCTAAACCTATCCTACCATCACTATTTCTGTTAAGCTAGACGACTCCCACAATTATTTGGCATGGAAAATGCAGTTCCTTAATCTCCTCTGAGGACACGACTTAGTTGGCTTCATTGATGGTACTGAAGCTTGTCCTCCAAAAAATATTGCCTCTGGTTCATTAAATCCTGCCTATATTGTTTGGCAGAAGAAAGATGTTTGTCTCCTTGGATGGATCCTTGCATCTCTTTCGGAAAAACTTGTTTCCACTGTTTATGGATTGGAAACGTCTAAGCAAGTCTGGACTGCCCTGCAGACTCGCTTTTCTTCTCAATCATGTTCCCAAATTTCCCATCTTAAATGTCAACTTCAAACATTGACTCAAGGTACCAAATCCTGTTCCGAGTATCTTGACAATGCCAAAAGTCTTACAGAGTAATTGGCAACAGCTAGTAAGCCTGTTGACGATCAAGACTTGATCTCCTTTCTTCTTGGTGGCCTACAATCATCCTACACACCGTTTGCCACCTCTTTTAATTTTGCATCCCGTGAAACTGACTTCACATTCAAAGACTTTCAAGCTGAATTGCTGGGCTATGAAAATCTTATGGATATCAATCACTTTGTTCCTGGCACGGATAGTACTCACTTTGCATTTGCTGCAAACAAATCTAAGGCACCTACTTATGTGAAAAAGAAAGGACCTCTACTCCCTCCCACCAAAATGCATAATGCAGCTTCCTCTAATTATCGGCCACACCAGCAAACCAGATCTACTCTTCCATAACTCCCCAACAACCGTCTGGTTTGTCAAATTTGTGGTAAATCTGGCCATATTGTTATTGATTGTTTTCACCATTTTGATTATTCATATTAGGGTCTATTTCCTCCTCAAGATCTCGCAGCAATGGTCGCTGAGACTAATGCCACATTTGATCATCAAGTTTGGTATATGGACAGCGGAGCTAATGCCCATATTACATCAAATGCAACTATTCTCACTCATCAGCAGCCCTTTCGTGAATCAAAAACTGTAACTGTCGGAAATGGTTCAAGTCTGCAAGTTCTAAATACTGGTTCTACCACCTTTAAGTTCGGCCAATCCAATTTTCATCTAAACAAAATTCTCCATTGCTTACAAGCAGCTACCAATCTCATCTCTATCAATCAATTTTGTTTAGATAATAATTGTTACTATATCTTAACTGCTAATGATTTTATCGTGAAGGGAACCTGACAGGCAGAATTCTACTTCAAGGTGTGGTTGAAAACGGCCTATATCCACTAGCTGGGTGCAAGACTTCTCATAAAAGCCTCACATGTCTTTCAGTGACAATAAGGGTTCGAGCTAATGCAGACACTTGGCACTTAAGGCTAAGACATCCCTCTAGTGTCATTTTAGATAGTTTGTTTCATTTAAATAAACTCTCTATCAAAGGTCCTTCAAATAAAATAGAGTTTTGCTAGCAATTACCTTTCCCAGAGTCTAGTCATTAGTATTTTGTTCCTCTTGCTTTAATCCGCTCTGATGTATGGGTTTCCTCTGTACAACCAACTGGTGGTTATCCAAGAAATAGGACTAACACTTCTAGCTCAATCAAGTTTGTCCCCCCAATATTGGGTTGATGCATTCCTTACTTCAATGTTCTTAATAAACAGATTGCCAACCAAAGTCTTAGATAATATGACACCTTTTTTTTTACTTCATAAAACTGAGCCAACTTATATAGACTTACGTGTTTTTGGATGCGCTTGTTATCCACTCCTTCGACCGTATAATGACCATAAGTTGGCATTCCGAAGTAAAAAGTGTCTCTTCCTAGGCTATTCCAACTATCAAAAAGGATATAGGTGTCTTGACTTAGCCACTAAACGGGTATACATCTCACAACATGTCATCTTTGATGAGAAATCTTTCCCAGCTAAGGAACTGGTCGAGCACACCACATCTCGAAGAACAAATCCTACTGCAGGTGAACCACTGATAATTCCTAGTTCAGTTCTATCTAGTAACTTATTATCTAACATTTATGCAGCTATGTCATCTCCAAATGATCCTTCTCCCCCTTCAGTTCAATGGCACTCGCTACAACTGAAGTATACTAGCTCAGAATGCTTTTCAAAGAATTGATTATTGGTCTAGTCCACACACCAACTATATGGTTCGATAACATTGGGGCAATTGCACTCGCTTCAAATCTGTTGTTCCATGCAAGAACGAAGCA